ACCCTATTCCTCCAAGTCTCTTCCTTTTTATATAGTTACCTTTTAAATCCATATTTTATCTTTTACCTGTATTTAGGCTTCTTGTTGGGCTAATAAACCAGTTGGTTTACCTTGGATTTAGCATGTGTACATTGTAGCTTGTATACCATGAGATATATACATATAATGTGTGTGTAATAAAATATGTGTGCGTAAGCCAAATTGCTGTGGCTTGTTTAGTACAATATGTGAAGATTAATACTATTTCCAGTATGTCAGTACACAAGTAAGCTCTATTCACTTCACTATGACCTAATCATCTTTTTGCTAATTTCATGAAGTAGGCTCTATTCTGTGAATTCAGATCAAAGACGGGAGGGGAACTTTGGGATAAAATGTGATATTTTAAATATGATTCTTAGCTTGTAGAGTAACACAGTTATATTTCTGGAAATGAGTACTCATAAAAAGACAGTTCATTGTTTTCCTTTGAATGTCACCCAAAAATGAATTCCTTTGGCCTATTTCCATATTCAGTAGATATAGACATTGCTCTCCTTTCTTCCTGCCTTCCTTAACAAGTATATAAGCTTTTGGAACTTAGAACTATTGAGGCTGAGCAACTGTTTTGTACCATTATCGTTAAAAAAAACCTTAAGTGCCAATTTGCATACAGTTGTTAAAACAAAGCAATCTGCTTGGGAAGACATTTGGTACAACTGCTTTCCTCTTTGTCCTTTTCAGTCTCTGCAACATAGAAACATGAATCATTTGTCACCCTAATTGGACAGCGATAACCCAATCAGCGTAAATATACGCAGCATAATTCATCCATGATTACTTTAATTGCTTATATTCTGTGGTGAGTTCTGCAACCTGTCTTGCCCTACTTTGTGAATCAGGGCCCAATAACCAAAAGAGATTCCATCCTCTTTCCAAAATGATACAGCATGCACCCAAACCTCGCCCCAAAGAATTGGAAGATCAACTAATGAAAGAAATTATTCTATGTGATGTTGGATGTAGCTCATTATCTGAAATAGTGCAATGTCAACAACAATTTTAAAAAGTGGGGGACTCTTAAAATCTCTGTCCTATCCTTATCAAAATGGCACCAGATGCTACAGCTGCTACTTGGTAAAAGTAAGTCGAATAATAAATGCAGGAATTAATTGAGGCACAGAAAGACTTTGCTGAGAGGAAGTAGAAAACTTGATAGGAGCTGTTAGAAAGAAGCAAGCAGCTTCTATTAGATGCAAACCCAATAGGAAATTTAAAGATAGGGAAATAAAAATACATTTTTAATTGTATTGTGGAAATTATTATATACAATAGTAATACTTTAAATATATTCTTAAGCCAATCTTCCACAATTTGTTGCCTTGCCATGCAGATATTTTGGTCCAATTCTTATAGCTTTTTGTTTTTGTTTATTGTGCTAGCATTTCAGGCTGTTTGCTTTTTCAAAAGATTAAAATAATACACCTTGAAACTAGACAGTATGTAACATTTTCTAGATTTTAGTTATGATAGTTTAAGTTATAATGTATATAAAAATGTAAAAGGTTTAAACAGCTTTGGTTGCCCAGGGCTAAATAACATCAGGGTTTTTAAGCTATAAAGATCAAAGTTCAAACTGTATTTTGTGACTTTACACTTGTATTGCTTGTTTTCTGCTGACAACAGAACACAGCATACAAGTAACACTTCCGCAGCTAAAAGATTTAGATTATTAAAATACTCTCAAGCAGCAAGGTTATATTTTTATGATTCCTCTTAAAATCTTGTATTACTTAATATAATTAAACATATAAAATCATGAGATTGTGAATTGATCACAAGTAGTATAGTAATGGTGCATAAAATATATAAAGGTGGAATTCTCAGTGAAAATAAAGAGAACATTCTTGTCAAGTATAAAATTTGCACAGAACGTTTATATATGGTAGCTACTTAACTCCAATGTTCAGATGACTTATTAGAGTCTACTTAGTCTAGACCATTTTATTCCTTTTCTCCACAGTTCTCCATATTCTTGGAATTTAAACCACTATTGAGATGAAATGGCTTTACAGCCATTATATTATCTGTGGTAAGATTTGATAGTAGAGAACAATCTGTTATCCCAGAATCCTGTGCAATCCCTGAAAGTCTTATGTGCAAATACCAGATCTCTAAAATTGTGTAATGTTTAATCTAGTAGAAGTAGATGTGTGCTATAAATACACGAGTGGGAAGTAATTATTTTTAGTTGCATATAACTGGAAAGACTTTTGTACATAACAGCATCTAAGCTACTTGGCTTATTGCCCCCAAATTGATAGGGTTGTATAGACCAGTTTAGAGTCTGCAGGAGGGAATTATTAGAAAATCCACAAGCTGTAGGCTAGACCAAAGGCCCCCAACCTTTTGGGCAACAGGGATCTGTTCTGTGGAGAAAGGTTTTTCCGCAGACTGGAGGGGGCGTGGTTTTGTGTGCTCCTGCATCCCGCAGATGGGGCTTTGGTTGTTTACGCAGCCCAGTTTCTGGCATTCTGCGGCACAGTGCCGGTCCACAGACTGAAGGTTGGGGACCCCAGGGCTAGACGGAAAATTACCTAATAACTCAGAAATGGCCATTGCAAACTACTTTCTGTTTACTGCTTTGAATGGTGCTAATACTAAAGTTTATGATTTGTTAATCTTTTGTGTTTCAAATGGAAAATAGTTTCTTTTCTTTTTTTTTTCTTATATAATCTTTGTTAAATAAGTTTTCAATAGAATAAAACCAGTACAAATTTTGACCCACGAAGAATAGGAAAAAGAAATAAAGCAAAAGAAATAGAAAAGAAATTGTAATTCTTTTGTGTTTTAAGTGGCAAATATTTTGTTTCTTTTCCAAGAAATTAATTTTAGCAAAGAAAAAAAAGTATGGCAGATATAGTGGACTTCCAGTGGAGCAATTATGGAATTTGTATTATTAATCGAAGCTAATAAGAGGAAGGAACTGTTTTGTGTTATGGCTAATGAGTGTTACATGCATGTATTTTCAGAATAGAATAACAAGAGTTGGAAGGGACCTTGGAGGTCTTCTAGTCCAATCCCCCTGCTCAAGCAGGAGATTCTATACTATTTCAGACAAGTGGTCATTCAATTTTCATTGTCCAGTATTATATATTACTATGTGAATATACATTTATATCAGTGGCCCCCAACCTTTTGGGCCTCAGGGACCAGTTCTGTGGAGAGAGGTTTTTCCATACACTGGAAGAGGCGTGATTTTGTGTGTTGCCTGCATCCTGAGGATGGGACTTCTCTTGTTTGTGCAGCCCAGTTTCTGGCATGTCACGGCCCAGTGCTGGTCCACGGACTGGTGGTTGGGGACCCCTGATTTATGTAATAGTATTTGCTTTTCCCCAGTTGTCATCTGGCTTGGGTCAGTTTCCAGGAAATCAGAATTGGAAGCTGCTATTTTGTGCTCCCCAGGTTTTTGTTAATAGCTGCCTGCATACATGGATTTGTGAATTGCATACAAGAAGAAGGCAATGATAAAGTATTACAGATAGTTTTTGACTTACCAGTGACTTAACAACTGTTCAAAGTTACAATGGACTTGAAAAAAGTTAGTTATAATCCATTCTTGAAGTTATGACTGCCATACCACCCCGGCAGTCACATGATCAAATTTCAGATGTTTGGCAACCAGCTCACATTTACAATGGAGTTGCAGTGTCCCATGATTACGTGATCACATTTTGGAATATTTTTCCAATGATAAGTTGGATTCAAACTTACAACCATGCGGTTCATTTAACAACCCAGTGATTCACTTAACAGACATTGTAAAAACAATTATAAAATTGAGTCCAGTCACATGGTGACCCAACTTATGACTACAAAACTTACAGCCAAAATCCCAGGGTCAATTTGGTCATAAATCAAGGACTACTGTACAGTATTCTCATCCTTATTCTGTGTACTCGTGTAAAAGTCTTTCAATGACAAGTATAATTGTACACTGCCAACAACACTAATTATTGTTTTATATTTTCAGTGCTATGTACTCTACCATATTGGTAGCCATGAAAAGTTTCTTTATGTGACCTTTAATGCAGTCTTCATTGATCTAGTGCCCTTAAAATGTGTTGGTGAGCTCTAATCATCTACTAGCCAACAGGGAGTTGTAATCCAGTAGTATTGTGAGGCATTTAAAAGGCCATTCTTATATATTAATTATGCACCCCCTAACATATTTACATTTATAGAAAAGCAGACCTCAATCTTCTTGAAATTAAAGAACTTTGAACAAATCATTCTAAAGTATGTTTTTCACTGAGTGAAAATAGGAAAAAAATGGATATATCCAAAGTAACATTTTCACATTATCTATATATATCAGATGAAAAGATAAAGATGTAGCTGTCCTGATATAAATCTATTAATCTTTTACTAGAACCATAATTTTAAGTGCCTTAACATTATAGTTGATAATGTTTGAAAGAAACATTGAAAATTGTAAAAATTAATAAGTTAAACTTAACATGCAGTGGAATTTAATGTCATAAACAGCCAACAGTACCAATAACTAATAATAGAACAAAAAACCAATACAAATTGCCAATCATTTGTTTTGTAGAGTGGGATTGTTAATTGTTTTCATGGCACTCATTCTTCCTTGATTTCATAACAATATTTTCAGTAAATGTGAAGTTAATGTTGGCTTCCGGATAGGTAAGAAACCTGGCAACAGTTTTTCAGTGCTTGGACTAATTGTTTTATATATGCAGCATTCAGTACTAAATACTATTCAATATTCTAAAAAGAGGTCTATCATATAATTTGAACCTAGAATTATCAATTTTAATATTTTGCTAATGCATTGATTTTAGCCAGAGTCATTTGCTAGAGATAAGTGGCTGTATGAAACAAACCAACTATAGCTCGGCTTTTCAAATTAACATACTTTCCTGTAATTATCTACTAAATTGGGAAATTATTGGACCTATTATTTCCTTATACATTGTTTTAATATTTTCCTCTAGGTCAATGTTCGAGTTACCACAATGGATGCAGAACTAGAGTTTGCCATCCAGCCTAATACTACAGGGAAACAGCTGTTTGACCAGGTTAGTATAAGCATGCATGGAATTTTTAAAAAAAAAGAAATTGCAGGTGCGAGTTTGATTTCTGATTAAACAGAAAAACTTGAAACCATGAATACCACAGATTAGCATTCATCTCCTCTTATCTCTACAGCACACTGGCCATCTCTACCTATTCTTAAGCTAAAGAAAACAAAACTACCACTTACACTGCTGTCAGCTGCAAGTTCAATAAATGTGGTAGTTGACATTTCATTGGTCATTCTGTTTAACATTAAGCTAGATTTTTTACTTTTCATTTTATTTTCATTTCTTACTATTAGCTAACAAAAGTTCTGCCATGCCCTTTAATATATTTCTTGTAGATAAAAAGACAATGTACATCCTTGTCTTATTCCCCTTCCTATTCTGAAGCATTTCATTTTCCTAGACTCATTTCTTGTAGCAATTGTTTATTCATTGTAAAGGTTCCTCAGAACACATAACACAGATGTGTTATGACACATCTGTTAGCCTGAATATAACCAATATTCTGGTAATATTTTGTAAATCAAAGGCTTTGTTATACTGAACAGAACAAATTTAAACCTCTTAATATCTTTTGTTCTTCTTATTACCTACCTTACATTAGTTATCTGATCATGTATCCCTCTGCCTTTTTGGAAACCTGTCTGTTTATTCCACATACAACTTCATTCTTCATAGGATCTTAAGCAAAAAATTGTTTTATTAAAAAAATAGTACCATGGGCTTTTTTTTTGCTTCTGTTTCTCTTAGATTGCTTTCATGTCTTCTTCATTAATATCTTTAACTTAGCTATATATTTTCCCGTGATTTTTCCAAACCTCAAGTTGTATCTCATTTTTTTCTTATATTCACTATTTCTTGATATTTTTAAGTGAGGTAGAATGAATTAGGAACCATATGCAGTCCACTGGTTGCCTATATCTCTTGCTATAAAATAGTGCATTAGCTTTTCCCACCATTGGGGTGGGATAGCATGTTTACTGGATGTTTACTAAGTCTGTTTGAAAATACTGGATTAAAATTCTGAGAGAGAAATCCTAATGCTGTTCCTTGAAATTCTAATTAGATTGACATAACAATGACATTAAATACTCCAGATTGATTATTGGTGATGTTAGCCCTAATAAACTTCTTTTAAGGTTTTTTTCCCCCTGTGAAATAGTAATATTGAACTTGTCACCCTTGGTATAAGGATAATAAAACACTAGTGTGAGGTTGAAGATTACATGAATAGGTACTAAGTGTTCTATTTGATGATTAATCAAATTTGCTATTTGATTGCTATTAATCTCTGTCACGTAATTCTTTTGTAATAGGAGCAATACAAGTTTATTTTATTAGATGCTAGGAAATAAAATCAGTTCCAGTGGACGCAATCTAAAATGTTCCAGAATGATAAAGGGAAATGAGTAGACAAGTCACTTTACAAACTTGTTTAAAAGAAGCTTATAGAACACGTTTCCAGATAACTGAACAATATCTAAAGTAGACAATCAATCAGGCATGCTAGGATAGAACTGGAAACATGTAATAAGATGATTCTCCACAATATATTAAACTGATAGTTCGATACAAATATCTTGAGGAAAAGTGCTTTGCTAGAGAATAAAGGTGGATATGAATTCTGTGGACTATATTCAACTTTGTGAATGGAAAGATTAAGAAGTTACATAGTTATTTCCTGTTTCTTTATTTCTGATATAATTGGCAATTCTGCACATTGATACATCTTGTTTTTAGTTATCTGCCCAGTTCTTGTATTCATGACAGCTTGGCTCTGAAATGGGTTCAGAAAATCCTTCTCAGACTAAGATTCTTTAACAACAATTTGCAAGATGTTCAGTCTAGACTATTATCATGTTCTCTATTGGACAATTTTGGTGCTGTGCTCTCCCACTTTTTGGTTTCAGGAAAGCCAATCTGGCCAATTGCTATATACACATGTGTACACCCTCAAATATAGGCAAAGTTAAATTAGTTATATATGCACAGCTTCCAGCCTTATTTTTATTTTTTGCTTTTTTCCTGCTTTTCCTGACTAACACCTGCTACAGATTCTTTTACAACAGGTTTTCCTTGCTAGTGTAATAACTATAAAACTTGCCTTACTTCCCCTGTTTGAAATTCAGCAGGATGTTTGGGGGGATGGGGGTGTTTAATTACTATTTTTATTATCCTGAGCTACCTACTTTTCCTCAATGTTTTAATTCTGGTGCATTTATTTCCCAGCCCAAGTAAATAACAGAGAAGTCATACAACTTCAGCATACTTATCCCTGAAATGTGTCTTTTAAGGAAGCAGTTCCCAACATTTTTTTTCTTTTTTCATTAATTTTTACAATCTTTATTTGGGAATTCAAGCTTCTATATATCTTATATCTTACTGCTGTAAGGAAATATGCCCAGTAATTATATTTAGTTTCTCTACATCAATATAAAGTTATTTTTACCTTCCTTATATCATTTTCTGTTTTCTACATGAAATGAAACCAAACGATGCACTTTTTCATGTTATCACATATGGGGATCATGGTAGCTTCATGATCGCATAGTTGTTTTATGATGATTACTGCTAATTAAAAGTTGGAAGAGACTTTATCTTAAATTAAATGCAGTAACCAGAGGGAAACTATAGCTACTAACTTATTATTTCACTAGAGGCAAGTTAGTCAAGCTTTCTATCAATAGCCTACAATTTCTTCAAATTGGTGAACAAGTCAGAAAAAAAGAAATCATTTGTCATGAACTGTAAGCCATCAGAACATTTGTCAATGCAATTAAATATTCATTTAATATAAAAATAAATGAATAATGCTAAAATAAAACTTCAACAGCAAGATAGGCAGCATATAAATTTAGTAATAAATAAAAAAAATGTATTCTTGATTTTCTGCTTTAGCCTGGTACCCATTGATTTCTCAAGGTAGGAAGATCCTCCCAAAGGTTTTCATATCAGTATATAAAATCTCTCTTGCTCATATCCCACCACTATTGTTATTCTTCAGATTCTACAAATATGAATCATTCTTCTATCACACAAATATCTCCTTTATATTTTGGCTGTTAACAGGAAAGCTAAGCTGCTTCACTCTTCCTTTTCTCTGAATAATGCTTATGACTCATTCTGAGGCATTCTGGTCAGGAGTTCTGTCTTTCTCAGTTATGTATACCTCGATTTCTTGCCAAGTTGCTATGGGTGACCACCATTTCTAGAAGGTGGGAACAGACAGTGTCATTCACATATACCCAATCACAAATCCTGCAGGAAGGTGGGAACAGTGTCACCCACATATACCCAATCACAAATCCTCCACTTACAGAACAGTATTTTCCTGCTTCTGTTGAAAAGGCCAATCATAAGCCACTTTTTAGTGCCATCATAACTTTAAATGGTTGTAAATTGAGGACTACCCATATAAATAGTTAATAGCAATTTCACCAGGTTCCTTCAATTTCTTATAGAATTAGGTTGCTGGTTAGGAGCCCCAGTTTATTCCTCCAAAAATTTTAAACTATGGAACATCGGAAGCCGTCCATTTTTTTGAGGCCACATAGCTGCACAGGGTCAGGAAGATATATGTTTGAGTTTGATGAATGAGCAACAACATGTGCTTGCCCTCTGTTGCTGCTCCCTTAATACTGCTTTAATTCAAGCAGGTATTATCCTAAACCTGTGTTCAGGAAAAGGCATTGTTTATATAGAAAATAACTAATAGCTACAAAAGGGAAGCAACCATAATGTAGAAATATAACTTTTGACATTAGAAATAATCTTCTACTGTGCAGATTTAATTATAGTGCATTAGTCTTCATTGATTTATAAAAGATGTCTTCAGACAATGTTGCGGTTTTTTGTTTTAAATTAAGGTGTTGACATTGTTTAAAAATACAGTATGGGTCCAAACTGAATTTTCCTTGAGCAGGATTCTAAGCCTAATGGGGTTACTGTTATAAGTAGTATAACAGTACTGTTGTAAATGATCTTATTTCAAGCAGCAATAACATTTTAGTTACTTTAACATTTTGAATTCAATTCTAAATAATTATTTTTTATTTTAATCTATCAGCACGAACAGTATGTCTTTTATTCAGTCTTTTTTTCTCAGCTGCGTTTACAAAGTTAAGCATCAATGCAACACTTCTTGTCATTTGCTTGACATGGCAAAACTTTAATAGTTTAATATTACCTGTATGAATTGTCTTAGGAAGTGTTACATCTTTAAATTCAGCTTTAACCTTTCCTATTTTTTCAGGTGGTGAAAACCATAGGCTTGCGCGAAGTATGGTACTTTGGTCTTCAATGTACAGATAATAAAGGTTTCCCAACCTGGCTGAAACTTGAGAAAAAGGTAATGAAATAAGCTAACTTTGATTGTTAAAGGTCCAAACATAGGTATGCACTATTTAACTGATAACCAGATCCATCTAAATCTTTTAAGTCAAATCACAGTCATTTCAGTGAAAAATAACATGTTTATTATTTGCTGTCATCATTATTTGCTATTACTGCTTTATTTGTATTTAAGTCTTTTAAAATAATCCTGCAAAGCAGTTCAAAAGCAGTGCTTATTTATAAGCAAGCAAGTAGATGATAATGCCAGTGAAAGGGGTCATATACAACAAGTCCAGTTAAGCAGGATTCTGGTAATGGTTATCACTCAACCACCATTTTCTTTCTTCAAGGATTTTTTTCCTAAGTAGCCAGCACTAGCATTAGCAATAGCACTTAGATTTATATACCACTTCATAGTGCTTTACAGCCCTCTCTAAGAAGTTTACAGAGTCAGCATATTTCCCCCAGCAATCTGGGTCCTCATTTTACCAACCTCAGAAGGATGGAAGGTTGAGTCAACCTTGAGCCACTCAGAATCAAATTGCTGTCAGTCAGCAGAATTAGCCTGCAATACTGCATCCTAACCACTGCATCACCAGGGCTCTGAAATAATTGTTGAAATATTGACCAGCAAAACTCAACAAGAATGGGATATTTGACAATTCCCTTAGCCCTAGCCACTTTCTTTAGGATCCAGTGCTATTAAAGTAAAGCAATTTGTTGAGATGATGTTTAGGCTTGGGTACTGATAAGAAGAGCTAATCACAGTTATGCGTCAGCTATCCCACTTGAATAATAAGGGCACATGCTACAGACATCATATTTAAGTCTATGTGCTAGGACAATAATAGTCTGCAATGGAATGTAGGACAAGAAGCCATTTATATCTTGAAGTACACTTAGCAGACAGGGCAGAACCATCTAAAGCAGATTTTTCAGTACATCTAGTAGTTGGTGTTGTAACTGTCAGGTTTTTATATACTCTCTTGTAGAGGAATTTCATTTTTTTTAAAATGTATAAATAAAGATCGTTGGCTGTCTGGTGGGGACCAGTGAGCTGGCAAACTGAGTGTGCATTCACAGTATATGCATGTATACTGAGAATCTGAACACAATTTAGTGTCAACATTCCATTAATCTATTCATAATATGGACATTGCGCTTATTTCAGTTAGCTCGGTCTCTTGGTACACATACATAATTTTCTAAATACTTTTCAAGACTAGTTGTCAATCTGCCCAGAGTGGCCTGTTCTTATAGATCACGAATGTCAAACTCGCTGCGTCATGTGATGTGTCGCGACGTATCGCAACTTTTTTTGCATTGCCGGAGCTGGAGTGGGTGTGGCCTCTGTATGATGCAACCGGCCCGTGGGCCAGCAGTTTGATGCCCCTGTTATAGATGAATGTTCCTATAGATATAGTGTGGAGACTAAGATATAGGTCTTCATAATCCACACTGATTTAAAGAATTCTCCCAGAAAATTATTTTTCCACTGACCTATTTGTAAGCATTCATAGGAGGCATAAATAGTATTAATATCTGTTAGGGGGGAAAAGTCAAGATATAATCTGATTCTGCACTACTTAATACTTGAATAGATTAAAACAGTATGAGGGTATTGAAAAAAACCATACAAAGTTTGTATTAGTCTTTCACTAGTCTTTCCAGATTGTGCTCAGTTCATGCAAAGTAGAGGTTTCCATCTCCCTCCCCTTAATTTTATAAAACTATATAATTATAGCTTTTGCAGTCAGTTCAGTTGAACTGACAATTGAAACAACTGTGTCAACTATCAAAGTTAATAGATGCTGTTTAAAATGGCTAATCCTATATGTTTAACACAGTTTATTTTGTGTATAATAGGAATGCTGATGCAGAAAAAGCAATTTAAAGGGACTATATATATATCTGTAAACTCAGGTTATGTTGTGATACTGAGATAGAGAAATTGCAAGCAGTCAGGAACACATAATCTAAGCAAGATAATGTTTAAAATACCAACACCATTTTATTTTTCATTATTGTAATCCAGATGAGTTATAATGATGGATAACTTTTCCCCACTGGGTCCTTATTAAGCAAATAAACAAAGAACAAGCATACTCTGGTTGACACATGGAGGGAATAAATATTAGGAATTGTCTCTAGCTTTCCTTACCACAAAGCCAAATGTGTAAAGAGCAGCCTTTTTGGTTTTTTGAAAAGACATTTCACTTCTGTTAAGTACTAAAGCAATTTCCTTTTCTTCAGTGCAAAACATTTGTGTGTGTATGAGAGAGAGAGAGAGAGAGAGAGGGAGAGAGAGAGAGAGAGAGAATGAGAATGTATATTCATGCTCACTGAAAGTTAAACATCTCCTGACAGTGCAAACATCCTGAAAAATAGTTCCTATTTCTAAGCTTATCAAATCCTGATGTTTGCTGAGTCATAGGGAAAAAACAACAACCTCAGAAATGTAGAGATTTCCTTGTTCAAACAACCCTTCCCCCCATGCATACATGTAGCCATGTTATAATATGACCCATATTACAAATAAAGGAGAATATTTATAGCTCGGGGTTGAACTGAAAGGTCCTTGGCGCTCTCTGAGCCTGGTTATTCCCTTGCAGATGTTTCATTTCCCAAACTAAGTAAGATCATCAGGAGCACTGATAATGTTATCTAGTTTGGATAATGAAACATCTGGAAGAAAACAACCAAGCTCAGAGAGCACCAAAGACACCCCCCCCATGGCCTTCCTAACAATTACTGAACAGCACTATTGATCAAGTGACAGGAAGCAGAAAAGCAAATGAAATAGTTGTTTTAACATTGGTATTTTGGGGACAGAATAGCTTTTTATACTTAAGTAGGGGCTGTTGTTTTTACAGATTTTAAATAAGTTGATTTTTTTGGGAGCAGGAGACAATCATATAAGTTCAAAGATATCTAATAACTTGATAATAAAATGTTATTATTGACTAGCTGTACCCAGCCATGCGTTGCTGTGGCTCAGTCTGGTTAAGTGGAAAAGAAAGAAAAGAGAAAGTGCACGTTTGTAATATATCATGTTTTTACCTGTCACAGGTGTGACATCTATATAATAGTAGGTATATAAAAACACGTGCGTATTCGAATGCAACGTTGTGTCAAAATTTCAAAGCAATCGGTGAAGAACTTTCGGAGATTTTAAGATTTTGAACAAACAAACATTTACATTTTTATTTATATATAGATTGGAGTTGGGAAGCATCAAATTTGAATAAATAAATAACCTTGCGAACTCTCAAGCTTCCTCCTTCCATTATATGTTCAAGATGGACAATATTTAATATTTATTTGCTATGTATATGTAGGGATGTGGGTCTATACATATGTTGTTCATAGTATGTTTAGGTGTGTGTCATGTATGTGTTTCACTTTGAGAGCGGGCAACTAAATTTCATTTTTGATGTGTGCCATTGTGCCCACAGTATAAAAATGACAATAAAAGGTTATCTTATCTTATCTTATCTTATCTTATCTTATCTTATCTTATGTTCAGCAAGTTAGTATTTAATAATTTACTGATACTTTATCACTATTTAGGTCTCTGCTCAAGAAATCAGGAAAGAGAACCCTCTCCAGTTCAAATTCCGGGCCAAGTTTTTTCCTGAGGATGTGTTTGAAGAGTTGATCCAGGACATCACCCAGAAGCTGTTCTTCTTGCAAGTGAAAGAAGGAATCCTTAGTGACGAAATCTATTGCCCACCTGAAACTGCTGTCCTTCTTGGATCTTACGCTGTGCAAGCCAAATTTGGAGATTATAATAAAGAACTGCACAAGGCTGGGTATCTCAGTTCTGAACGCCTGGTCCCCCAGCGGTAAGCATTTCTGTTGAAACCCTGAGGCCCAGCACTCCCCAATTCTATTGAATGAACTTCCAGATGAGAATGTGGGATGTGTAAAAGACACTAGAACAGTTTTTGCAGTTGTTACAACTGATAGCCAATCTATTAAGAAAAGAGTGACAACAATAAAATGAAAAGTCTTTGAGTTTTGTTTTTCAAAATACCAGTAGTACAAAAGAACTACAGTATGTTGTAATTTTCATGAAATTTAGCAGAATTTGAGATTTAAAAATCATTTTAGAATATTAGGGATGCTCATTGCTTACGGGGTCCTAGTACTGCACATAATATTTAGCAACTAAACATGGTAGCGAGGCTAATACTTAAGGTTTTGAGTCAATTGCTACCTCGCTTCCCAAAAGGATGGTTGTTATAGGGAAAATTAAAGAAGCTAAGTATACCACTTTGAGGTCCTACAGTAAAATGTGATCTAAACCTAATGAAAGTTGGAACAAACAAATGGGAAAATATTATCAACATAGAGCAGGCACACTGGCTGAGGAATTCTTGGGAGTTGAAGTCCACAAGTCATAAAAGGGCCAAGTTTGAAGACCCCTGACATAGAGTGTCAGTTGAATAGGTCTATTATTTCTCAATTCACTTCTGGTTTCAGTTAACAAATTAATACATTGCTGCTACTTTACACTGCCTTAAGACATTAGTTTGTACCCATGGAGCTCTTGGGTACAAACTTCATGGGACAGGGATGTTTGCAGACATTTGCACATCCTTAAAGAATAACTTTGTAGTAAAGCTAGAGTTTAATCATTAAACTTGTTCAAGATTCATCTTTTTAAAAATCTCAAAAAAATAACTTTTTTTTACTTTAAATGTTCTGTGCCATCTTTTCCATGTACCCAATTTTGCTAGCAGATGACATTTTTGTAAATAAAACAAATTGAACCTTAAATCTCATGATATATCTTTATATTTTAGAGTAATGAATCAACATAAGCTATCCAGAGAACAGTGGGAAGAACGAATTCAAGTATGGCATGCTGAACATGGTGGAATGCTTAAGTAAGTTATTTCATTGATTTTTTTTATATAGGCAAAGCCAAAGATGATTGAGTAGAGACAGTGAAATAATATTGAACACACAGTGGGGGAAAAAACAAAAATTGATAAATGGAAGAAAGGGTTAGTAAAGTGCTGATATTCCATAGGGAGGTGAGTTGGTTCTTTTAGATCTTTTCTGTTATACCTAGCAGTCTTGAGTATTTTATTTTCCCAGCACCTCAAAGTTCTGCATCAGTCTTGAAAACAAGTCTTAACGTTTCCTATTTTGTATTAACCAGAGAAAATGCCATGCTGGAATATTTGAAGATTGCTCAGGATCTTGAAATGTATGGAATCAACTATTTTGAAATAAAAAATAAGAAAGGAACAGACCTTTGGTTGGGAGTAGATGCACTTGGGCTCAACATTTATGAAAAGGAAGACAAGTAAGTGGAGATATTTGTAATCCTTTATCTAAAGAGCTGTTCTTGTGCCAAAGAATTATCTCATCTGTGATGTGTACTTTTATAGCAATCATAACTGCTAAGGTCACCTTGCTTTTCAGACTATATGCTAAATAATATTGTGCTGGGGTGCATATGACTTCAATGTCACTTGCCTTGCTTTATCTCTTAACTGCTTAAGCTCATGTACAGGAATGTGGTTTCAGAAGGACAGGCAGGGGCTACAGGGAATAATTACTGCATGGCTTGTTGTTATTATAATATATCATACCTTATTGATAATTCTAGAAAAAAATCAGAAGCCAAGTCCATTTTCACTTGTTAAAGTATTGGACAGGAGCAAGAACAATCATCTGCAGGAACTAGGACTGAGATACGAGCCAAAGGATACTGTAGACAATCCATGACCCATTGGCACATTCTTCTTTCCGTATATAATATAGGCTTGTGCTGTTTGCATTCCCCTCACAAACTTCAGGAGAGCTCTGGTGAAATTACTTCCTTCACCACTTCAGCTGACCCACAGAACTTCCTGCCATTTTGTTGAGGGGGGAGGAACAAAAGGAGTGACAGACCACAAGGAAAACTGCACCCCACACTCCCTATTCTGGCATGTCTCCAAAAGACCCCTCCCTCCAGGAAGGAAGAGGGCTCACCCTTTGACCATCAACACACCCCAGGCAGACCTACTCTGCCAGCAAGCATCTGAGTCACTCATTCTTCCCTTACCGGCCACCACTGTTAAAAGAGATTTAAGATTTCAGCCTCATTTCCAAAGCAAACTGTCAACCGATTGGGAACACGAGCCAAAGGGAGATGGGGGGGTTAAAGTCCTCCCATTTTTCCTTGTGCCAAATAACTTAAGAGTTTCTGGGAAGTATAGTCAAAAGACACGCCGCTGAATCGGCCACAACTCTGCCAAATTTTAATCATGGGTCCCTATTTTTGGATGTATTTTGTAAATTAGCCTATTTGAGATATGTTGAGATATGTTGATTCCAAAAATGTTGCCTTATGATGCATTGTCTGTGGAGATTCTCATAGTTATCCCAAAGATGCATTTTCACGAGGCAACTGGACTTTCTTGTTTTTCTTTGAAGACGTTTCGCTTCTCATCCAAGAAGCTTCTTTAGCTTCTTCAGCTTCTTCAGCCCCACCATCCAGTCAGAGCTGAAGAAGCTTCTTGGATGAGAAGTGAAATGTCCTCAAAGAAAAACAAGAAAGTCCAGTTTCCTCGTGAAAAAGCATCTTTGCGATGCCTATGATGCATTGTGTCACCAAATTGAAGATTACAAAGTATCAAACAGATACATATGTTATAGTCTTAATAACCTATTATTTATTGTATGTGCATGTATTACACAGTCAGGGAAGAGTGCACATTTTGCCTGTGGAAAGCCCCAGATTCGATCCCAGTCATCTTTGGTTAAGGCTAAGGGGAATCTGTTCTGAGAGCTGTGGTTCAATAGAGTAACCAAGTCTGAGCAAAATGTATTCACAGTATCGCCACCATGTAAGAAACCTTGCTTAATCATTCAGGATTCTCACTCAACTTTCTCCTCAATGGAGAATTTCCATTATGCTCAGTTGAGAGCTTTTTGTAATCGCTTATTCCATGCTAGGAACCATTAGTGTGAAATGATTCTTAGCAAACAGGTTGGCTTTTATCGGGGAAACAGCTAGGTAAAGTTAAGTTGAATTCTTGGAATACCAGACTGACAGTCTTTGTTATTTTAAGGCAGTAGCTTTAGGGTTCCTTATTAAGGAAGAGATTTGAGGAAGAAACAGCATAGTAGTAATCTGGAAATGAGACAGAAGAAACTGAATGATACCATGTAAAAAGGAATGGATCCTGTTCATATAATCCTTGTTCAATACAACAAGGAAGTACAAGCTCATAAATTAACTTGAATTTACTTTTGAAGCATAGTAGATTATTTATAAATAGTAGCTTGGTTTTATATTTGTTTCCAAGGACGCTTTAAGCTGTATAAACATTCAAACAGGAGAAATTGGCTGCAAACATTGAAAAAAGGCTACATGCTAGGTCTTTCTTGCCATTTTTAATCAAAATTTTACCAAGATCATTGAAGAAGGCTAAAAAAAATTTTCTAGCAACCCTATCACACCTAGAAAATAAGGAGTGTCACTCTAAGGATTGCATGAGTGAAACTACTTCTAGATTCTTGAATGACAGGTCTCTTTGTGTAGCCACAGTCATTCAAACTGGTTTTACAAGCTATATAAAGCCTGCAGGAAGAAACATTTGCTTCTGAAAGAAAATCTGGGAAGGGGGGATGTGCAAAGTAAATTAAGCATTGGCACATCTAATGATTCATAATGGAATCTTCATAATATGGAAGTTAAGTTGCTGCTTCCCCCCTCCCTTATTTTTTTTTTAATACAACTTGAATGCATAGAAATTGCTGGAGGATGGAATATGGTAAGGCACACCTATGGCTAATATTGAGTTTAGCATATAAATAACAGCACTTCTATTTTTCATTATGAAAGCTACCTTTGAATCTCCAACACTTAATTACTGCATCAATATCTTTAAAACAGTAGTCTGTATATGTGGAGAAGCATTAACACACAATGCTCCAGTTATAATAGTCTGTGTGAGTTATATACTTGTGTGTTTGAGATGTGTTTGAATATTAGTAGCTCGGGTTGGTAGTTGGCAGTGGTGGGATTCAAATATGTGAACAACCAGTTCTCTGTGTGGATGCCGCTTCCGGAAGTCCATTCTGGGCCTGGGCAACAAAAAAATTAGCTACCGGTTCTACCAAACTGGTGCAAACCGGCTGAATCTCACCACTGGTAGTTGAGCTGATGGTCTGATCTCCGAGCTTGGCGATTTGGCTGCAAATGTTTCATCTCCTTTTGGGAGGGGGGGACATCTTCAGTGTGCTTTGAATTGTGCAACCCTAACCCACAATTCAAAGCCCACTGAAGATGTCCCCCCCACGGAATGGAGATGAAACCTTTGCAGCCAAATTGCCAAGTTCGGAGATCAAAGCAACAGCTCCCATACTTGTGTGTTTCTTTATATGAGGAGTATTATCTTTGCTCCGATTTTAAGTTCTTATGCAAGCTCTGCTCTAAATATAACATGGATTTCTAGAAGATAAAATTTACCTACATATTATAAAGGAGATTTAAAATGGATGAAACCTTTATGGGGAAGAACTTTTTGTCTCTGGGAGGATGGCAGAGTTTCACTTTAAAAACTGTGATATAAAGAAGAATACAGGTGTTAGAACTATAAGGGTACAAAGAGAGAGACTTTCAATTATTATTTTTTCTATCCCTGGATTGACCTGATAATTTGATGCTGTAGAGAAGGGGATGGGCAGTCATGCAGTTTGTGTACTCAAAAATGTTATTTAGTAGGCCAGATACAAAATTGTGTTTGGGGAAACACATATTGTCACGATGCCTCTTTGTCCACATTAAACCCAATAATCAGTCTTTTTTTTTGCTTGGTATCCTTCCTGTAAAAGCCATAAGGTTGAAGTGACTTTTGTTAGATGCCAGTTGTTCAACTTATTGCAGAAATCTGGAACCAGATCTATTTTATTCCCAATTCTGCTATAAAGATCTAATGAGACAGGGAGGTAGCTTCAGCATCACAGTACAATTTAATCCTTGGCTTATGTCAATTCATTTAATGACAGTTCGAAGTTACAATGGCCTTGGAAAATGTGACATGCCCATCCTCAAAGTTATTGCCGTTGCAACAACTCCCACAGTCACGTGATCGCAACTCAGACACTTGGCAACCAGCTTGCATTTACAATGATTCAGTGTCTTGTGGTCACATGATCCCAATTTCAACCTTGTCAGCCAGCTTCTGACAAGCAGTCAATTGGAGAAGCCAGATTTGCTTAACAACTGCATGATTCACTTAATGACTATGTGATTTGCTTAACAACCACAGTAAAAATTATTGCAAAATTAAGTCCCATCACATGATGACTTGTTTAATGACCAAAATTCCAGTAATTGTGGTCATAAACTGAGGACTACCTCGACTACCTGGAGTGTAATAAAGCCAAACCTCTTGATCTGTATTGTAGATATAGTTTCCTTATCTATATCTGCTTTGGTGTTTCCAGATTAACCCCTAAAATTGGCTTCCCTTGGAGCGAAATTCGAAACATATCTTTCAATGATAAGAAGTTTGTTATAAAACCGATTGACAAGAAATCACCGGTGAGTATAACTGATAATTTGTGTTGCTCCTAATGAAAGAGAATATGGTTATTTATTTATTATTTTTTAAAGACCTACCTGTTAATTTGCATAAATCTTAGAATGAATTTGTATGCCCATTCAGTAGTTGAATAATAGTGGAAACACTGGTTTCTATAAAATAAATCTGCTTAATGATTGAAATTACTTCAACAGAATGTGGAATTCTCCCTTCCTTTCATCATGTCCACATCAATATGTTAGAATGTTTGTTGAATCATTTTATTGCATTTATTGAATATTAATATTATGGGCATCACTTTCTTCCTCTTATATTGCACAAAATTGGAGTCTTAAAATGATAACTTGTAAAAAAAATTACCATAGATATAATTCCTTAATTCTGTAACATCTTCTATCGTTGCATTGTAGAATTTAATCTTCCTAATAATTTTGAAATAATCTTTCTGTAAAGTTTTTTTTAAAAGTTGGTATATTGAAGAAATGTCTTATTTTGCTTTTCTTTATAATATAAATGGGTCTCGCCAGAAATTGCTTAAATTTCAAAAATGACTTCTTTCCCTTTAAATATTTGATTACGAGAAATTATTCTTTGAAGGTAAAGAGAAAATTTAGTCTAATAATAATAACAATAATAATAATAATAATAATAATAATAATAATAATAATAATAATAATAATAATAAAGTTGGAAGGGACCTTGGAGATCATCTAGTCCAGTGGTTCTCAACCTTTTTAATGCCGCGACCCCAACCGGTCGTAAGTCGAGGACTAAATTGGTCGTAAGTCGAGGACTAAACCGGTCGTAAGTCGAGGACTAAACCGGTCGTAAGTCGAGGACTAAACCGGTCGTAAGTCGAGGACTACCCAACCGGTCGTAAGTCGAGGACTTTCCCTTCCCGGGAGCGCCGCACATGCGTGGTTCCGCCCCCTGCGCCGGCCGAGGCATAGCTGGCAAGCGGCAGAGACGGAGCTGGCCGAAAACCAGCTGGCCCAGCCCAAGGGAGGTAAGGCACCCGCCAGAAAAGGAAAAAAAGGGCAGACAAAAAAAATGGCGGACAGCCTTGCTTGGAGACCCCCGTGAAATGGTCGATCGACCCCAAATGGGGTCCCGACCCACAGGTTGAGAACCACTGATCTAGTCCAACCCCCTGCTCAGGCAGGAAACCCTATACCATTTCGGACAATATGGTCATTAACCATATTGAAATTTTGTGTTCCAAATGTTCACTGGAGCCGTGGGATTATGAATAACTTTATTGTGTTCTTTTTCTCAATGTTAGCCTCATTTTCTCCATCCATTATTTCATAATTTCCCTTCTGTCTTTGTTCTACCTTACAAATGAACTTGCTCTGATACTTGGCTCTTAAGAACTTAGGGACGGACGTTTTGAATTTGGATGATTTCCATACCGTTACTTATCTAACCCATGCACAAAGCCCAATGAATATTACAAAAGATGCTATTAGAGAAGCATTGTTATAGCAGTTATTAAATTGGTCGGGCTCAGAAAATATTAATGTATTTTTAGTGCTGAAATTAACAATCGTAGGCCAATCGCGGGAGAAGACCTAACCCCTATATGCTGAAACGGGTTAATTTGTTACTGCTTGGATTTTCCAGTACAAAGAATTAAGGAATTACACAAAACTGTAAAGTAGGGCACTGCAAGTGTGCGTGTGTGCATGGGTGTCTTTTTAACCTTTTCATCTCTTCTTGCCAGGACTTTATATTTTATGCTCCTCGCCTAAGAATCAACAAGAGAATCCTGCAGCTATGCATGGGAAATCATGAGCTGTATATGCGCCGTAGGAAACCAGATACCATTGAGGTCCAGCAAATGAAAGCTCAGGCCCGTGAAGAGAAGAACCAGAAAGAGCTAGAAAGGTGTGTGCAGGAGCATAGGAACTACAACATGGTACAACTCAATTAGGCCCCTACATTAAAGTGTGATCATTCTGCTGTAGATATATATATATATAGCCTTACCATACCATAGCGTACATGGCAATTATAGGGTTACCAGAAATTAAATCTAGAGTGAGTATGGACTGGTAAAGAGGTTGAGTTGCTTGAGATTTTTATATCCTCTTTACTTCCTTCATGGTTCCTTAATAGAAAAGTTTAGGTCATGAGTGATTAGAAATGCAATCATGAGTGATTAGAAATGCAATCATTACATAATAAGTACTACTCTTGATTTAAACACGTGTTCAGATACTTTCACATTGTTCTGTCCTGGTTATTATGAAAAAAAACAAAAAAAAGTGTAAAATGTTTCTAGAAGGTGAAGTAAGCTGTAGTCTGTTCAGATCTAAAACTAATTTAATTTTATATCTACAGAAAGATGTTGGAAAAAGAGAAGAAGAAGAGAGAGACAATTGAGAAGGAAAAAGAGCAGATGATGCGAGAGAAAGAAGAGCTGATGATCAGGCTGCAGGAGTATGAAGTGAAGACTCAAAAAGCAGAAAAAGGTACTTACCTTGCATTTTGTTGGCAGCAATTGCTGAAACCCACATCCATCCTTCTGTGTTCCCCACTTCTGATCGGATAAGCCAGGGGTAGTCAACCTTGGCTCTTTTATGACTTGTGGACTTCAACTCCCAGAATTCCTGAGCCAGCTCAGGAATTCTGGGAGTTGAAGTCCACAAGTCATAAAAGAGCCAAGGTTGACTACCCCTGGGATAAGCAATGTCTTTAACGAGCAATAGCAACTTAAAATGTCATTCTAGTAGTGCTATGGATTGAGTTTCCTAATTAATAGAAATACATATACAGGTAAACATATCCTTCTGAGAGGAGAGTAGTCTCACCCTAATGAACTCCCAGGACCTTCTTCTGAGGAAGAGTCCTTCAAAGAGAGTGGGGAGCAGGAGGAGGCTTCACTTTCACCTGCGGTAACGGGGAATCGTGATGTGCTGTTGCCATCAAGATCCAATGTTTGGCAGGGCTACTGAATAGCCCCAAAATACCAGCCGCCTATGTTAATAGTTTGGTTGACTGAAAAATTAACCACCGAAGTAATGTTTGTGTGCTGTCCAATGCAATGAAATCAGAAGTAATCATCACTGATCATCTTGGCAGGTACGTGGTTTGGTTGGAGTTGGTCTGAGAGATATATAATCACAATACAAGAATAGACATTTCTTCTAAGATGTTTTCCAGTCTTCCACCTTAGTCAACAGCCTGGGGACTTCCTGCAAGTCGGCCAGTGCTGTCATCTGTGGTGACTAAAGCTGTAATTATTGATCTTCAAAGAATATTTTACGCATAAAACAAGGACTAGCATTCCAAAAGCATGAAGTCTTAATTGCATGTCATGTTTAGCCATAAAATGATAAGGTAAAGGAACTGTCCTACCTCTCCACAAATATTACTACCTTGTTCCACAAAAAGCCAGACTGATGCAATTTCTGAAGAGTGGTGGGTTGTTGTTGTTTTTTTAAAAAATAACCAGCATTTAAAATATATGTGACTGGTTGTTGTTTTTTTCTTTTTGCCAGAGCTCTCAGACCAGATCGAAAAAGCCAGGCAGCTGGAGGATGAAAGAACAAGGGCCCAGGAAGAAGCAGAGCGTCTGGAGAATGAGCGTTTGATGGCTCTGCAAGCTAAGGAAGAGCTGGAGAAGCAGGCTGTTGACCAAATGAAGAGTCAGGAGCAGCTGGTATGGATCGGAGGCATTTCGGAAGGAAACTTGGAAAATTGATATGAATCTTAGCAAAGTAGTTGGGCTAAGCTCCTCAAGCATCATCGGTGTTTATAGCTTTTTCAATCTTGCCTTTGGTTCTCAAAAGTCTTCATGGCAATCTACGGTGTATTTTCAAAGTAATTTTAAAACACGTAGAGATGATAATCATACATAAAATGGATACAGTATAGAACATAGACAGCACAAGCCACAAATATTTCCTGAATCACGTGCATGATGACAAAATAAAATTTAAGGGCACAACAGTTTTTACAGAACAGGGATTTCTACAAACTAGTGCTGCTATAGAGAAAGTGGTTGAGCTGCATTTGAGCTGGAAATGAGGTATTAAAACCCCTGGAGGGGTCAATGATATCTTATAGAAAGAAACTGTCTTTTCCCATCAATTGTGCCTTCATGAAATGTTGCATTAAGCTCCCAGACTTTCTACGCATTATGGGTAAAGTCTGGCTCAGGATGCTAATAGTTGCAGATCCATCATATCTGGAAGGTACCAGTTTGGGAACAGTTTGCTTAAGTTATATTGGCTGTAAACTATTTTTTAATGTTCTAACTTGCAGCTAGAAATAAAGTAGCCACTGTTGATATTCCAGGAATAGACAAATGGGTTTCTTAGAGTTGGTACTGGCAAATTTTATTCAGGCAATATTTAATACAATTTGTGAAAGTTCTCTTAAGGCAAACTTAATAAAGTTGGATGTTAGTTGTCTAGTCTTCCCATAACTAAAGTTTGCCCCCCTATGTTCTACTCTTTTGTAGCTGCTACCATGCCGTTTTCTGACCCAAGAACAGAATCTGAATGTCCCACCCTATCTAAAAACCGGAGGCTCTAGGAATAGGGAGAAGTTCTCTTACTGACCCAAAGTACTTCTATCTCATGTGATTTCCTTTTTTTTTCCCCTCAAAAAAGGCTACAGAACTCGCAGAATATACAGCCAAGATTTCTCTTCTGGAAGAGGCAAGGAAACATAAAGAGACTGAGGTTGAAGAATGGCAGCACAGGGTAAGCTAATGTGTTCCACTTCGTTTTACTTTCAGGGTTTTAGCAACTTTAGATCTTCCCTGGATCTTGATTACAACATGGTTCATTGGAAATATAGATGGTATAGTCGATTGTCCTATAACAGGGGTGTCAAACTCAATTTCATTGAGGGCCGCATCAGCATTGTGGTTGCCCTCGGGTGTGTGTGTGGCCAGGGTGAGTGCGGCCTACTGGGTGGGCATGGATGGAGTGGGTGTGGCCTACTGGGTGGGAATGGTCAGCTCTACATCATTCGCGTTAAGGGTGCCTGTGGGGGCCTGGGCAGGAGTGGGACAGATCTGAGGGTCTCTGGCAGAAGGGAGTGGGACCGGGGCAAGTGCCCAGGCATGGTCCATTTCTTCATTCCTCACAAAGGGTGACACCTCCCCAGCATGCACCCAGGGGATGGGGCCAACAAGGCAGGGGCTGGTTCCTCACTGTTTCTAGACGGCCTTGTGGAGCTAAGACTGAATGTGTTTCAGCATAGATGGCCACCACAAAATTGTACATTGGCCCCCGGCCGGCCTGTGCCAGGGCCAAGGCAGGGGGGGCCGTTCCCTCACTGTTTCTAGGATGGCTTCGCGGGCCACATGAAACCACTTCGCGGGCTGCATCCGGCCCCCGGGCCTTGTGTTTGACATGTCTGTCCTATAAGATTTGCTACACTAGAAGATGAGCCACATTGCATCAGAACTGATGCAATATTTGCTTTCCACAATAACCAACAGGATGCTTCCAGGAAGCTCATAAGGAGTGCATAAATTGAGCGCTATAGTGTTGGTCTGCTATTTTTGTTTATAAAACAAACTAGGAGTATTTCTACAATCAAAAAATTCCAGATAAAATTCATAACCATCCTCGTTTGACTTTTCTAACATTCCCTTTGAAAGCTGCATGATTCTCCTATCGTTCTGTTTGACAGGGGCATAACATGGAGAGGAAGTAGTATGCACAAAATCCCAATCTTTTGCAAATTGTCTGAATTGCATTCTACATTGCAAGATAATCTGTTTTTCTAAAATTCAAATATATAACTATTTTGGCCAAGAAAATTGGCAAATTGTTCATAGGCAATTCTCACTTTTCCATTGATTCAATACATTTCCAATTCCTGAAAGCCTAAAAAATCTTACATTATCTCTACTGAGCATGCATACCTAATCAAAAGATTGTATCGTTGACCAGTAAATTTCCATTAGGTACTTGACTGTCTATAATTCCTAAGCTATTTTTATATATTTTCTGGACCTTGCTTTCTTTACCAAAATAAAATAATTTTCTTCAATAATTATAAGGACTTATCATGTAATGTAAGATATTTAAATTCTGTTTCCTCTCAGACATAGATAATAATAAGACCTCATCCTATCAACTGTAACATCAGTACAATCCAAAACATAAATTTATGACTGTAAAATTTAAAAAAAATACCTCTGGACAAGATCTCAAAAATTATTATTTCTTTTCCAGGTTCATTAGGTACTTGACATTAGTAACCACAATTGAAGCACTCTGTATAATGGTTTGCTTAAAATAGCTTTCAAAGATTTGTGGTCAGGCTCTACTGAAACTCCTCCGTAAAAGAAAGCAATTAAAAAAATCCTGACTCTAGATGCATATAGCATTGGAACTCCTCACTGAAGGAGTGCTGCAGCTAAACTAGATACGCTGCCATCCGCTGACACCATCATAGTTTTGTCACATTATAATATTTGAATGCAGATTCAATCATTAATAACACAGTTTATTAACTGCTTCTTCTTGTAGTGATATCCACTGAAATCTCATGTAACAACAATTGACTTAATGGAATTGTCACAGTAGTCGTTCCTGGAAAATAAAATTGGCCATACTGAAAAACCACTGTACATCTGTTTTCTTCTTGGTATTTTAACCATGGCATCAGTCTTTTTGTCAAGTTTCTTGTCATTAGAGGTTAGCAGATGTCCTAAGTCAGTGGTGGCGAACCTATGGCACGTGTGCCAGAGGCAGCACTCAGAGCCCTCTCTGTTGGCACGTGTGCCGCCGCCAGCAGCAGGTCCATCAGGCTGCCCCCACCGCCCAGAGCAGGAGCCCCCCCCCAGCACAAAGGAGGCGAAGCGGCCAACTAACAAGCTCGAGTAGAGGTGGTAGAGCAGAGGCCACCAACCATTCTTGATTGGTGGACTGGAAGAAAAGGGAAGGGGAAGCATTTTACATGCGTGCATACGCGCACGGGGCCGCGAGCATGCACACGCTGCAAATGGGGTGGGGTTAGTGCCTGCATGATACTCACCAGCCCTGCCCCGTTCTAGCATGGTGCAGTGCCTTGTATCTGCACCCCACGGCGCAGCAGTGGCCGTTTTTGCGCCTTGCAGCACGGTGGCCCATTTTTGCGCCCCCGGTTTTTGCGTGCCAGAGGCGGCACTCAGAGGCGCCTCCCTGCCCCCCCCGAGGGCACCACAATGCTGATGCGGCCCTGGCACTTTGTGATAAATAAGTGGGTTTTGGGTTGTGGTTTGGGCACTCGGTCTCTAAAAGGTTCGCCATCACTGTCCTAAGTACTTTACCTCAGTCCAAATTAACACAAGATTTAAATCAGTTACTGCTTTTAACTCTGAACAATTTTATGCAGGCTATAAACCTAATACTTATCCCCCTTATGAATTTTAAACATTACAGTTTTACAACATTAATAACTAAACAAACAGCCCATTCAACTTCTAAACGTCCATTTTAATCAGTCCATTACAAAGCTCTGAAGAAGGTTCTTCCTGATATGATATACAGTACATAATGTTTTAGGTTTAACTTTTTTTTGTTCTTAGTTCTTCACTTTTTATAAAAGATTCAGCCACCCACATTTTCTGCATTCTTTTCCAAACACTGCCCATGCACCTTTGAGAAACTCTGTATCTCAGACATGGGTGCTTCCAATCTTTGGTCTTTGGCATTACAACTGATGGCTGGGGTTTAACTTTTCTAGAGGCTTTCTCATTACTTCTCAAAACAACCAGTTCCTTATCGGTATGCTCAAGGTCTTTTACAACCTACAACCTACTCCTCAGCTCTGCAAACATTGACAGCATGTTCCAGTGTTAAATCATCTGTCCCTAACAATCTGACCCTTACTCTTTCAGGTCTTATTCCATATAGGCCACAGTCCTTACTTAAAGAGCCGCGTAACTGTCCAAACTCACAAGACTGCATTAAAAGTTCTAATTCTGTTACATAAGTCTCTCTGTTTTCTTGTAAAAAATTGTATTCCTCCCTTATGCAATGTCCTTTCTTGGTACATAGCAAGTTTCGGATTTCTCAACACCTGCAATAGCTGCTTATTAAACTTCTCTTCAAATTAGTATGTATTAAATATGTCTGTTGCCTCCTCTCCATCAACAAGCTGAAACAAGACTGCTTGTAATTTCTTATTATTTTTATTGGCCCTGCTTGCCACCATAAAGCTCAAACCTTTGTTTCCATCTTCCCCAAAATTCCAGCAAAACCTAAATCTAGAGACTGTTGATTACACCTGCACCGTTCAAAGCTTCTCAGTTGACTTCTAACTTTATGTTATGTTTACACAACAGACATAAATAATAAGAAAGACAAATTCAGTACACAGCTAGGTTTTATTGATAACTTGCAGGTTGCATCAGAGGTAAGAGAGCCATTCACGCAGAGATGGCTCTTTTTAGCCACTAATATTCTTGCAAGTAATACATTATAACATATAACTATACCAACTTGTGTTTCCCAAATACTGTATTCAGAAGCATATTGCATCTAATAGTACAAGTAATGCATAGCCATTGTGACTAAATTAGTAACACCCATAGCTTTATTCCTCACAGGTGTGACTATTGTCTTTTAAAACATTCTAGTTTATGGAAGTAATTTACTCCATTTTGAGATAGAGGATTCCATAGTTAAATATTTCAAAACTTTGGGGAACAGCTTCTCGGCAAACAGCTGGTCAGGTGGCTAAATAATTGAGCCACGTTACATAATTTGGGGGAACACAAACCCCATTTGCCAATATGGATGAATAGAAAAGTGCATCTGAGCCCGGAAGGAGGATAGGTTGAGAGTCAGGAACATAGTCATTGGGAAAAGAGAATGGAGGCATAGTTGAAAATTAAATTATTAATTGAGGTATTAAATTATCATAAATCTGTGTATTTTAAGATTATTTGGGGAACACACAAAATGTCATATCAGATGTCACCTATTTTCTAAATAACACTTTCACTGGAGACTTAACATTGGAAACATATTCTTCTTGGTTTCCCTTTTCTAGGCTAAAGAAGCCCAAGATGATCTGGTGAAAACAAAGGAAGAATTACACCTGGTAATGACTGCTCCACCTCCTCCACCTCCACCTGCATATGAACCAGTGAACTATCATGTCCATGATCCTCTTCAGGATGAAGGAATTGAGTCCTCTGGCTACAGTGCAGAATTCTCAAGCGAAGGCATACTGAACGATCGTAATGAAGAAAAGCGAATTACTGAAACCGAAAAGAATGAGCGTGTCCAAAGACAACTCAAGGTAATCTATCAGTAATACAAAGCATTTATTATCATTCTGTGTACCATTTTATAATTTGCCCAAGAAGGGAGAAAGGTTGTATCTTTCTTTTAAAGGGTTAAGAAAGGTTTTATATTTTATGAAGAAAGAAGATAATGATGTAGGACAGTAGTGGTGAACCTATGGCACGGGTGCCAGAGGCGGCACTCAGAGCCCTCTCTGTGGGCACACGCGCCGTCGCCCCACTCCTAGGCCTTCAGCTGGGTTTTATAAAACCTTTTCGCTTTAGGCCTCTGCCGCCGTGTGCAAAAAAAAAAGAAGGTTCAACCAGTCAATTTCAACATCTCGCGGGGGGAAAAAAGATCTTGCAAAGTTGGAATTGATTGATTGAACTTTTTAGTCCCACCCAGTCTGCCGTTACCATCGCAGCCACGCCCACCCAGCACTCGATGATGTATAAGTGGGTTTTGGGTTGCAGTTTGGGCACTCAGTCTCTAAAAGGTTCGCCATCACTGATGTAGGACATAATCTAGAAATCTTTGCTACCATGTATCTTATAGTGGAAGGTAGAAAATGGTTGGCAAATTTAGATGATCCAGATCTTTATCTTCTAACATTAACCATTGTAGGTTCTTAGACTTAACTATGCATATTCCTAGACTGTAGAAGAATGATATGTACAAAACTCACCTTCAGATAGCATTTGCAAAATTTCATATTAGTTTTTTGTTTTCATCATAATGTAAGTTTCACAAATTTATTATTTGTGCATGTTTGTAATACTGTGTTTAAATGTTGTAGACGCTGACTGATGAACTAGCTCAGGCCAGAGATGATGAGAAGAAGACTCAGAATGACCTCATCCACACAGAGAATATGCGACAAGGCCGAGACAAGTACAAGACACTGAGACAGATACGACAAGGGAACACCAAGCAGAGAATTGATGAATTTGAATCTATGTAAATATAGTTTCAATGAAGACTCTGGGAAATGCAGATTTTAAATGTTGACATTTCTTCTTGAAAGGTCACTTGCAAAGTCATACCAGTAAATAAATGAATAAACTCCCACACTGTCAGGTGTCAGCTGAATTTAATAAAAGCAGCCACCAGGATTTAAGTATAACGAGGAGAACAGTCAGAGATGTAGTACAATCATATTAATATTGTGTCAAAAAAAATATTGTCAAAGGATGTCTCACAGTCACTTTTTTCCTACACGTTAAGAGTTCTGCAGCTTTAATAGAAGGCTTTTTACTACCACAAGTATATCCAGATTTGTTTGGGTGTAGGGAAATGTTGTGCCACGTTTCTTGTTCTTAAACACCCACCGTATTTGAAGTTTATAATGTTCTTAAGTCTTAAGTCAGTCCTCATCTCTTGTTATTCCTATAAAAAAAGTCACAAAAGGACTCTAAAAAACGTTCGCCTTGAATCGGAGAGGTTCCCGATGATCACTCAGAGGGAGTACATGACAGGCACACTTAGATGCCTTTCTTATATCAGAAATAGAGGGAAATTGTTGATGTTCAATATTATTCAAGTGTTGAACTGCAGCTTAACCAGTCAGCTGTAGTATCATATTTATATATAATATATATGTGTTAAAAATATAAGTAACATATAATTCTAGTTTGAAAAGGGTTTTTTGCTTTGTATATTTTGTTATTATTTCTTGACTTGTTAAACAAATGATATTTTGAAAAAAAAAATCTAAACTCTTGGGTGAGGCATGATCTAGAAAACATTTGTAAAGATGATTTTTTACTTGAAAGAAAATTGTAATGCATGCCTGTAATTCAATATAAATAATTTCACTAATCCTATTTTTTCTAACAAATTTTCTAATTTTTAAAAAATGGTACCGTTTCAGACTCCAGCCATGAAGGGACTTTATCAGCTTTTTAAAATGTCTCTGTTGAAGAGAGTTGCTATAGATTTGCCTCACTACCCCCTTGTTAACCTCCATTTGACCACCACCACCTCCTAGCCCCCCCCCCCCCCGATCCCAATTTTAGGCTTCTGAAATCATCAGTGTCAGAGTACAGAATGTTGCTAGTCCTGCTCTACATACAGTTTTCTATGCTGCTTTGTATTTTGAAGTTCATACCTCTGGAATCCTGATATAGTGTGGTGGGATTATTTGTTGAATGCAATCGACCCATAAATAAAATTCTGCAAGGCAACATTTTCTTTCTTAAATTTCTCCAGTTCCTTTTTTCTGAAAAACTATGAAGCAGCCCATTTGTTCAAGTGACAGAGAATATTAATAATAAAACAGAAAGGTAAAATAATAACTATGGAAGAAATTATGACACTGAGGGTAAATTTTTAATTAAGTTCAATATACAAACTAATAGCACAGAATAGCAAAACATTTGCCTTGGATGCAAGGTGGAAATTAATTTAATAACTATAAGCTTTAACCAGTGGTAATGTTTCTAAATAGTGTGACCCATGTTTAGCCTTAATCATAGTCTAGCAACTGAACCAGCTGATTACTGAATAGTACTGATGTTAACAATAGGAATGGCAGCTCCCATCACCTCTACTGCCAAGATCAAATAGCCAGTAATCTGCATATAGTACATCCCAGGAAAGGTGGGTTGTTTTTTGTTTTGTTTTGCTTTCCTGCTTTCTGCAAAGAACAAAGTGCAATAGCCTGATCAGAGCCACCACACTCAGGAATCTGAAAGGCTTATCGTTTGTTTCCCAGGAAAGATCCCCCTACTTGTGGGTGATGAAAAATCAAAGTGGAATGAAAGAACTGGTGGCTTCTGCATTCCATGTCATTTTCTTGGAAGGCTAGTGATTGTTTAACTTTAAACTAGCTTGGGTTTGGAAAACATTAGACTGAGGTTGTGCTAAACCTGTAACAGGCCATAATTACATCTTATGAGTAAAGCATAAAGCGTATCTTCTTAACCAGGGTAACTCATTGTTTAGATACTCCACTTAAGTCCAACATGATTTGTGTCCTGTAAATGTATGTTTTTGTTTCACCTCAGTTCTAGATAGGTTTGCATTGTCTGTAGCCTTGTGAATATGAGGAATAATTACAATTAAAAGAGGAAGGGGTGTTTCCCCATCCTTTTTTGAGCTTCCTTTGTTCAGCAGGACAGCTGCATTCATATATACTCAAAAGCCAGTATAGCATTCTGCACTCCTGCTTTATCAGGACCTTGAGGTAATATGTAGTATTTTGTAACTGCCAAATTACCCATATTATGTACTCATTCCATTTATTAAAGTGAAGTTGATTGTAATTTAGCTAAATGAGAAAGTAGCATACTGTAAAACTAAGTAGCATCTTTAGTAATCATTTTCATTTCCCAGATGACATAGATCCAAAAGGCTTTCTTAGTAAAAATGATGGGATGGCTACAGATTCCCAAATATCTTTGCAGAAAGTAGTGTTTAAAACACGAAGCATTTCTTGTAAAAGGTCTTCCTGCAGTACTGTAGATACCCTGGGTATATTTGGTATTAGTAAATTTTCCTTTTTTTTTCTTATCCTGAAATTACTTGTCCTGTAATATTACTTGTCTAAATAATCTTATCACTTCATAAAAAGACTGAAGAATGCTGCTTTTCTATGTAAGGCAAATAGGCATGTGGAGAATGCAAGAGACAGATACAAACAATTTGTCAGTTGAGTGTATGTACTGTTCAAGGATTTGACTAAGCTGCAATATTGTAAATAATATATAACTTTCTTATAAAACAGCAGTAGTCGTGTTGGCCATTAGAAAAAATAAAAATACATAACATATCTTTGTTAGGGCCAATAGAAGTTTCATAAAATAATTATATAAGTTTAAAAATTCATTTTTCTATAATTTTATTCAAAGTTTTAAAAAAGAAGATAAAAACTAATACTAATAAAAGGAATTGGAAAGAAAGCTACAAAGGGCAAGAAAAGAAAAAAAGTAAAGAAAACCCCAAAAATACAAAGAAATGGCTTCTGATCTTTACGACAAATTATAAGTACAATTATAAATTTACCTCTTACTCTTAAGGTTACAAATGACTTTTCTTTCTATAACCTACCCTGTCTAATTATAAAACCATAAATCAAAAATCATTTATTGTTTTATGCAAAAAGTCCATAAAGGGGTCAGTAAATCAGTAAGAAACGTCTTTTCTCTGACCAGAAAATATACATTGATATATATTAATCTTTAAAATCCTCTGAAACAATATATGTACTTTAATTCAAAACTTTCTAGCTTTTTACATGTCTACCAAGCATGATAAAATGTTCCTCCTTGTTGTTCACATTTCCAACAGGTATTTGAACTGCCTCATAATTATATCTTATGAGTAAAGCATAAAGCATATCTTGTTCTTAGTGTTATATTGGCCTCTTTCCAACTCTCTGACATCTTTCCTCCCTGTAAGAGTTAATTTGTGTAAAAGTTCATCCTCAAAACATGTATAATAAGAACCTGATAATCCATCTCACTCAGGCACTTTGCCTGGTTTAATCTTTTTTATAGTTTCAGAAACTTCCTATATTTTTATAGATCCCTTATCTGCTTCTGTTTCTCTGTAATCCTTGGTAATTTGGTTTTTTTTTTTAGATACTCATCTATTTTCTCCAGAGAGATATCACTTCCTATAAACAAGTTGGAATAATATTGATAAAATACTTTTTGTATAACCATGCTTTCCATTAATACAGTGTCTCTTTAGAGCAATTTGCCTTGAGTTTCAGATGGAATTAATTTACAACCAAAGAGAGATTTTTCTAAGTGGCAGGATGATTCCATTTGGTGAATCAACTTTCCCTCTGAATTAAAAAGAAAAAAGATTTAAAAGATTTAGAAACTTTGGCAAAAAAAAAAAAAAGCTTAACTAGGAGCGGATGTAAGATAGTTTAAAATGAATAAAGGAGATAGCTATTTTGAAAGATTATTTTTGGTAAAAGTGTTGAACAAATTAAAATAATAAAATGAACTGAACCTTCATAGGAATGTTTGTTGTTTATTATTAAAGAGTGTAGAAAATTGGTGAATTTTACAGAACAAAAGATAAAGGTAATATTGAGTCAGACTTTGATGCTGACTATAACTACGAAGAGCCATTTGAGAGGAAAGTATTAAGGACAAAGGAAGGTAAAACAAGAAAAGGGAATGGAAGATTTCTTTTTACTCTTTTCCTTGTAATTGAAACACTTTCACTTTTGGATTACAATATTTCAATGGCAACCATTAGAAAACTGCAGAGGGGAGAAGAGGATCACTAGAGCAATCTGCAGAGAGGGGAATTACATCAGATTTACTTCGGAAAATGTTTGAGAAATTAGGCTATGGGACAGCTGAATCACTTGATACTAAATTGACAGCTTTTGAAAAAGAATGGATCAAAGATTTGCAAAGATGAAAAAGGAGATGCAAGAAAGTGGTAATCTGTAAAACAAGCTTCTGGGGATGTAAAACTAATGACAAAGTGGTGATTCTGGAGAATAAGGCAAAACTTAAAAGGACAGAGAATTGAAAAGACAATAAATAATTTGGCTCTATTGCAATTCAGAGGGATGAGATGTAGAGCAATCCCGGAAGATTCTAGTGAAAGTATTTGAGAAAAGGTTATTAAAGCTTTACCATTTTTGTTTACTGGAATAATGGGGATACAGAGGCTCAAATTAGGTTTTAACAAGAGGACTAACTGTACTGTTCTATAAAGGATTTATAAAGGGACTAATAGGTTTCTCTTAGGAAATTGATGTTTGGTGGGTGATTGGAATGGAGTGATCTCCACACAATTGAATAGAACTTTTGAGAAAAATATTAAAATCACACAGGTTTCAGAGTTCGTAGGAGTTTGGTTAGAAACCAAAAAACAGGAGGAAAGGAAAAATATTGGCCAGTTCTTGAGTTACCTTTATCCCAGTTTTCACTGTTAGATGGATTATTCATTATTTCCTCTATGCATAACATCAAATAAAACATGCACAACTATTTTACAGTTGAACTGGATTTGGAGCAATAATTTGGTTCAGTTGTTCAATCTTATGCATTTGGTTGGCTTTTAACTATATGGCTTTTAATTATAAATGGTTCATTTGGCAGTAGGGAAAGAATTGATTGCCACAAAAAGAGACTAGCAGGATACAAATCAAGCTGAGAATTATTCCATTTACTCTTGTTTGTGTCATAGCTGCTAACTTTGGTCCTTGGGTTGTTTATTAAAGAGAAGGCTATTACGAGGAAATCCAGAATAGAGAACAATAAAGTAATTCAGCATGCAACAACTAGATCAGTAATTTACATGGATGGGTTCCAAAGTTTGTAAGTTTAAAATGTGAGCATGTATACGCATTATGGTTGATTATCTTTTCTGATTTAAAAAAAATCAGAGAAAGGTGTAATAAAAAATCAAAATTGAACAGGCAATAGTAAAAGAGAATGGAGCATGAGAAAGAAATATTTATTCTTCATACCTGTGATAGAAGATGTGTCAGTTGAAAAGTTCCCACTGAAGAAATCATTCCATTAAGGGATTGTATTACCTATCAGCACCATTACAGCAATGTCTAATTCTTTGAAACATTGTGAGATGACTGTATCTGGACTATACCATTTCCAATTGAAGGTGGAAGCTTACATCACTAAATGCTTTTCTGTGTGTGTTTTGTTTTTAATGTAATACACGGACAACAAATATGTCTTTGGGAAGCTTAGTTAGAAAGTAATACATGAAAATTCACTGAGATCATTGATGTTATTCCACTATCCATTTGCACATCTGATATTCACTGGCATGGTGGGTGATCTAATATACCACTATACTATGAACACAAGAGGTATGGGCTAGCTAGAATAATTATCTTCTCTAAGAAAAAAAAAGAACGAACTTCTTGAATCACATCAATGGAATTTGATACATCCATTCAAATGCCAATGACTTTATTTACTTAAATCCTTTTTTTCAGATAAAATATTTTCAAAATAGAAATCCAGAAGTATTGCAGGGAAGTCATAGTTACCTCCAATTGTTTATTCTCCCACATTATTCCCTCAGGAGCACAAGCCTGTTCTACATGAGGACTCCATTAAACTCAGGACTAGTTTTTAATTATGTCATCTAATGCAAGCTGATGGATATCATTATACTTTGAATGTGTTCAGACCAGATTTTAAAGCAGATGCAATGGCCATCTACAAATATTTAAAATACTACCGCATATATGATAGGACTTTTTTTTTCTTTGCTCCAGGGGCAGAATAGAAACCAATGGGTTCAAAGGTATGTGAAAGGGAACTTTGATTAAACATTTAAAGAACGATGAAGCAGAACGCACTGAAAACTTCGGGTTTTTCTTCATTAGATATCTTAAGCGGAAGATTTATTTATTTAAATAGTTTATAAAGCCATACATTTCACAACAATGATGCTGGTCAGCATACAAAGATAAAATATAATCCATTATATTCTGGTTAAAATGACAACCCCAAAACATAAAGTCCTATCATCAACAGTGCTTACCTAACCTCCTGACCCAAATGCAGAGGCAATAGCAGGGATCTGCTGACCTGGATAAATCTTTTTTTAAACAAATAGCAGGAATAAACTTGGTTCATGCTTTGGATGGGACACTGTGGAAGAGCCAGGAAATTCCATGGTCAGATGCTAGATCAAGTAGTCAAAAAATCCTGGAAGGTTATAACAAAACACATTTATGCTGTTGGCAAATGTAACCTACTTGGATGTGTTTATGAAATTGCCAGGAGTCAAGTTCAGCTCAAAGGAGACTTTATCTAGCTGGCAGAGGGAAAGGATTACATGATCTCTGAGGTGCATTCTAATTGCACTTTATGATTCTAGTGATGAAAACATTTAACGCCTACTTCACTGGAAAAAAAATGAACTGCTTACGGCACATTTATCCTTAAAATCTGAAGAAACAGAAAACATGTATAAATACAGCAAACATGAGTAAATCGAATGCAGTCATGTCACTTTGGCTTTCAATTGGTACCAGTTGAACGACTCAGCAGAGTAGTTTTCAAAATCCCAGGATCCAAAATCTATCACCACTTGTCCGAGGAATACGGGATGTCTGAAAATTCCAGCGTGCCAGACAGATATCTGAAGCTGACGGGTTTGCAGTTGGGAATATTCAATATTATACTATAAAGATAAATGGCATTATTGACTGGTGCGAGATTAGCAAATGCAATTTATACAGATGCAGCCTCGTTATACAGCACTTTCACAGACTCCTGCAATAAATGACCACTATCTAAGCTAGCGTTAAGGATATTATGCCACAATTGATTGGAAGGTGGACTAATAATCCTTTAATCCTCAACCAAGTTACATCTTATGTCCTTCTTTCTTGAAGAGTGAGACTGCCCAATCCCAATCAAAGCTGATCCAGAAACATAATGCTTTCTATAAAAAACCCTATGGGAGCTTTGCATGTCTGCCATTGGATCTACTTTTCAATCTATGTTAGATTTAGGTAGTTTAAATTAAACAGCTCCTTTAAGTTTGATAAATTACCTATCAATAATAGAAGATCAACTCATTACCCAAATTGTAATATACTTCTGAAACCATTCCGAATGTTGCAGATTCTATCATTTAGTAAACCAGCTTTTAGATCAGTGGTTCTCAACCTGTGGGTCGGGACCCCATTTGGGGTCGATCGACCATTTCACGGGGGTCGCCAAGCAAGGCTGTCCGCCATTTTTTTCCCCTTTTCCGGCGGGTGCCTTACCTCCCTTGGGCTGGGCCAGCTGGTGGTCGGCCTGCTCCGTCTCTGCCGCTTGCCAGCTACGCCTCNGTTGGGGTCGCGGCATTAAAAAGGTTGAGAACCACTGTTTTAGATAGTGTAGATGCTAGATTTTCACAAGGTTTCTTCTTCAGCTCCAAAATGCTTTGGCACTTTTACTTGTGTGTGACTCAGTAAAACCTTTCTTATGTTACTCAGTGGATCCAAAGCATGATAGCATCTTTTAAATTAACAAACATTCCTCTCTAAAAAAAAGGGTAAAGTCCTGTCTGTATTTAAAAATCAATATCCAAGATTCTTGAAAGCCTATACTCAGAAATCCTATTAAATGCAACAAGTCACATTTCTAGGTAACGGGCCACTGAAGTATATCCTTAGCTATTTCTTCTTTAAGAATATTTCCATACCAGGCAGTTTTCTCTACTATCAAGCCACAAAAATTAGCAAGATCAGCACACTGATGACAGTTATTTCCACTCTTCCCATTCAGAGTACCAATTTCTGGACATCAGCTACCATCATTCTATGCAAAATGCTGCAGAAATCCTAGATAATAGTAAACAGACCTCTTTATTGCCATCTTGCAGGCATCCAGTTTGGTCTATGGGTTAAAGCACTGGACTAGAAGCAGGGAAAGCTGAGTTCTATTCCTGCCTTAGATAGAGAAGCCAATTGTGTGATTTTAGGCCAGTCAGTTTCTCAGCCTAGTAAAAAGGCAATGGCGAATCACTTAAAAAGTTTGTGGACTTGTCATATAGTTACCAGAAATCAATAGACTGCAAAAATCCAAATATTCCTCTAGATAGTAGAACAGGAATCTCCTTTTACTATCATGTGTTACAATTTTACTGCAGATCTAATAATCTGCAGATCTAATAATAATCCCAAATATAGCCATATCTATTTTTAATCTATAAGGTAGTTTTATACTATAGGATTGTTTTGAGTTATCCCCTTTATTCTGATTGCAGCTGTTTTTATAAACTCATAAGAAAAACTTTAGCTCATAAATAAAAAAACTATATGTTGTGCTCTTCTGCACAATATGGCCAAGAATTGCTTCAAATACCTTTAATATTTCTTGGAATGTTGGATTCAGCGTGTTCTTTTTGACAGAAGTCTTCCGTTTACTCAGAGGAGATTTATCAGGCAGCAAGTAGGTCTTGACGTATCTTTCAATCAAAGATAAAGACAGCAGTTAAGGCTTGTGAAAAGAAGGGGGGAGGAAAATAAAGCCAGATGAGGGTGATTAAGTAATGCTTCTGGAGATCAACAGCATGTTGTTTCTCTCTTAGTTTCATAAATGCAGTGCTGGTTTTTTTGTTTTTTTTTTTGTACTTGAAGAGTAAGGAAGGACTTCATAGGCTGCTTTGTAAAATGTCGGTGTTAGCCAAGTTTTTTAAAAGAGTAATTCAAGTCCCAGCCACTACTATATCAGGTATATTTTAAGAACATTTTATTATCTAACCCATCTCCAAACATACTTACACATATACACACTTTGATATTTTAGGATTCAAGTCATTTATGTTGTATGAGATCCTTTTTCTTAAATGATTACGAATTGAATTCAGTGTACTAGTGAATTGAAGTTGCCAAGTAATGACTAGTACACATTGATCACTGTGACGGAATTCTTTATTATTATATCCTCTTTTTAAGACTGAATTAAGTTCAGCCATGAAAACAGACTGTAAGGCTAAGCATGATACACTCTAGTTTGATTATATTAAAATATTACAATGAAAGTAGACTCCACTCTGAGACAAATTTTGGAAATCTGAAAAAAAAACTAATGAGATTAGTATATGTATGAAATCAGTTTCGTACATATATAGGCCTTGGGATTCAGATAGGAAGAATACAGTGATTCTTATCTCCTGTATTTGGCTCCTGCTTTTTAATTTTGTTTTGTGTTGTAAGAAACATTTTCTTTTTCTTTTTCTTTTCTTTTGTAACAAGACTGTTCTCTTATTCACTTTTAAATTCCGTTTTGGTCTCTCTTAATTTTGACTTGATGACTCATAATTAATCAATCAGTCAATCTAGAGTCTGTGTTCTTCATCTAATCAATCCATTAATTCTGAGAAACAAACGTAGTAGTTACATCATGAATTTGCAAAGGTATTAAATTCAATAAAACTGATAACAGGGTTACCTTTATTTATTTTTTTATTGATAAAATTTACAGTATTTGCTGTCTATCTTGTATCCGGCAACTTGTGTGGCTTTAGGTTTAGGCACCACAAACAAATATTAGATACCATGAAACTACCCTAGAGCTATCTGGATCTGAGCTTCTAGCTAAGTTTTATATGATATGATAGGCTAGGTCAGTGATGGTGAACCTTTTAGAGATCGAGTGCCCAAACTGCAACCCAAAACCCACTTATGTATCACTGGGTGCCGGGTGGTGTGGCCCGTTGGGTGGGTGTGGCCCATTGGGTGGACATGGCCAATTGGGTGGGCATGGCTGCATGGTAACGGCAGACTGGGTGGGACTAAAAAGTTCAATCAATCAATTCAAACTTTGCGAGATCTTTTTTTCCCCACGAGAAGTTGAAATTGATTAATTGATTGAATCTTTTTTTTTGCACACGGCAGTAGAGGCCTAAAGCAAAAAGGTTTTATAAAACCCAGCTGAAGGCCTAGGACTGGGGTGATGGCGCGTGTGCCCACAGAGAGGGCTCTGCGTGCCACCTGTGGCACGCGTGCCATAGGTTCACCACCACCGGGCTAGGTGCTCAGGTTCCTTCCCTTAAATGTTATCATCTAGTAACATTTGACTCAGGAAGCACACCTTCTCCATTGTTGACCCTGGTCTGTGGAACACTCTTCCAGATTTCCCCAGAAATCTGGCAGACCTCTGCCCTTTTAGCTTTCTCAAAGGTCTTCTAGAGCTGGCTCCTCCTGCAAGCATTGGGGGACAATGAGGCTGGGGCCCAGCAAAGCAACATACTGATAGTCAAAGAAAGCTGTCTTGGGGTGCCAGGAAATTTTATCATGGTTTGTTCATTTTTTTAAATGTTTAGTGTTTTGTCAGGTGCCCAGAACTCTGATTTGTAATATAAGTGTCTATATATCTCTTTTAAATATATATGTAGCATATTATACCTTATTATACTTTTGCTACTAAGTTTGTGTGTATGTCCTTCTGAATAGCATTGACAAGTCCCTTAAGTTTTCTTAACAAGATTTCAGAAGCAATTTGTCCTTGCCTGCTTTCTGGGGCTGAGAGAGATTGGCCCAAAGTCACCCAAGCAGCTTTGTCCCTAAGGCAGGACTACGGTCACGGCCATGGTCTCCTGGTTTCTAGCTTTATGGCTTAACCACTCCACCAAACTGGCTTTGCTACTATGAGTGAAGTATTGTTATGACTCCTGACTCACCCCAGTGAATGGTAAACCGGCCCTCTGATTTTACACAACACTTAACGTTTGCTATAGCTTACAATCCATGGGGGGGAAACAAGGGAGCATGATGGAGAATTAGCCTAGTCAATGTTAAAACAAAGGTGGGAGGAAACAAGCTTATGAGTGTGTTCTTTCTAAATCAAGGGAAACAAAACACCTGTCAGTTGCAAAGGGCATCAAAGAAGTGACACATTTAGCCATTTTTTTAAACATTACTAATGTTGCTTCCTTATTGGCTCTTCTTCACGGTCATCTGAGATTTCGGCTATCCCTGAGTTTGCATAAATAGTTGCCAACATAATTGGCATTGTTTCAGGAATTAATCCAAGTTTTTATTTGTCTTAGTAACAAATGTCCTGAGTGATCCAGTCCTTACAGCTTTCCTGCAGGACAATTTAATGGCAGAGATTTTCACTCCCATCCAAAATCATCACACTCCTGAAAGTGTGGCAAGGCCAGCTTGACGAGTGAGGCTGGTGCCTGAAAGAGAGGCTTTAACAGCCTTTCCAGTTGGTTGTATGAGTGACAGGTGTCCAGTACAGAGAGGCTTGGAATATTTCTAGGTTGGTCAATTGGTCTTCTGGAGAGAGTAAGGGCAAACAGAAAAAAAAAATGCTCAAATGCAGGGATAGCCATGGCAGAAAGACTAAGATTTGTTCTGTAAAAAACTGTCACCACTGCTTTTTGTGGATCAGAGGATCTAGAAATGTTTCTAGCCAAGAAGGCCAAGTCCTGTAATAGTTTAAAATTTTGACTTAGAGGAGAATAAAAGCTAACTAGAAGAAATTAAAGCAAGCCTATTATTAATCTTATTAATGATTTTGGTTTTAGGTTAAAAAAAATCTATACCACCCATGTATCCGCAGATGTATGCCTAGATGTTCATTCCTAATGGCAATGATATCAAAATAATGAAATGGGCATTGCAGCATCACATACAAGCTCATAAGAGACAGAGTTTGCATCATGGTATACATTTCATCACATGCATCTCCTCACCCCACCCCCTTGGGGATGCATCTTCACAAATAATATTATTTTAGAATTAAAATACATCATAGATTTTTTTTTAAAGTAACCAAAAGAAACTTACGGATTGCATTTCTTTTTTTCCTCCTTTCCATAAGCCAGATTCCTACAGGCACTGATGAATACTTCCAAAAAGCCAAATTTGAAATTGTATCTAATGGCAAATTCTATTTCACCACAGACATCAGCTTTTTCAAAGTCAACAGCCCCACTGCAAACGCTGGTAATGCTGTATAAACTATCCTGTATAAAACAGTGAATTAAGACAATACAAAAGGGTCTCAAGTACATAATCTGTCTGCTTTCTAGGTTTAATTTAGGACCCCAACTCTAGACTGACAGGATGGCATGAAGGGTTAGAACAAGATTTCTCAATCTTGGCAACTTCAAGATGTATGGATGTCGACACACAGAATTTCCCAGCCAGCATACAGGGAAGTTGATTTTCATACATCTTATGATGGCTGGGGAATTCTGAGAGTTGAAGACCACACATCTTAAAGTAACCAAGTTGTGATGGAATGTACACCTGCAGAAGCAGTGGGGGAGGCTTTTGGCAACAGAGAGATTTCCCAGAAAAAGGCCCAGATTAAGAGACTGTGCCAGTCCCAAGCTGAAGGATGGAAGAAGTTAGGGGTAGCCACACCCTAGAATTGCTCAAGCTATACAGTATCTAGTAGGTCAGAAAGACATAGCAAGATTCTATCAATTAGGTATAAGTAAATAAAGGAATGGACTCAACTGAATCTCACTGTTTCATCTCTGGGCTTGGGCCTGACATCAAGGTTGAAAAACACTGGGTTAGAGGGGGATTTTTCTGCATCTCTTTACTGTCATTTATTACTTGTCCAACCCAAATCAGAACTGTAATAAACCTTGATATCCGATAAGATTTCCCACACAACTAATTTGAAGCGGTACTCTGTTCTGCTAACCAAAATAAAAGAAAGGCCCATTGTAAAGATAAAGAAATATTTAAGTTTATATCATTATTTCTGTCTCTGAAACAGATTATTTTCTGAAGTTGTACACTTTCTTGAGAATTATATGGTATTTCTTTGGGAAGATAGTTAATAAACTGCCTAGCATTAAAAATCTATACATTTTCTATGCACAGTAATAGAAACATGAGAAATAGGATCACAACTTACACGTTTTTTATCTCCACAAATTAAGGTATCATTTGTAATAGCGGAGGGTATGCCTTCTTCGCTTGATGCTTTTATGCAAGCAACTCTACTGTCATCTTGTTCTCCATTGATACTTGAACATTTCTTTGTTAATAAAAAAGGAGAGGTAGTAATATATAAAATCCTACTTGTCTTTATAAAATCAACACAAGGGGGCTTCTGAAATGCTGAATGATACAGTCAGTGATTAAACTTGAATGATTCAATAACGTGAGCCCGTTGATAACTAAAACAATGCCCAGCAAAATGAACAGTTTAAAAAGGAACTCAGCTAGTTCCTTGGATTGCAAGTGAATCCATGGACAGTCTGAGATTAATGGAGACACTGTAGATCTGGGAGTTCCATGTGGATGTTTCCCCTTCCTATCTGTAATTGGGGAGGAAAGATAAATAAACTATGATTTCCCACGTATACACTAATGTGATTACAGCTATTATATACTGTAAACCTCCATACTTTGCATAATTTATTCAGTTCACAGAACTTGTTGTGTTTTCCCATCAAATCTGATTGTGATTCAAGTACAGAATACCCAACATTCCATTAATATATTGCATAGTTAATATAATTAAACAATACTGTACCCTAGTTGAAATATCAATAGCGGTATCAGATAGGCTTCTCCTGTCCTTCACTGGATCAGTTTGTGGCCCATAATTTGCTGTAAGAAGGTATTTCTCATTGGCCACATCATTCTGTGACTTTGAGATTTCTAGAGGGAAAAAAAGTCAGAGAATTTAAAAAGTCAATTCAGTTTGTTCATAATTATGTCTGAAATTTATAATTCTTATAATACTTGTAAGGCTGAGCTGTCAGCATTTGAAGTATAATATTCTTGTTTGCATTTTATGAAACTAAAACAGACCTATTAAAATATATCAATTATATATTACTATAGCTTAGATTGGAGAACCAGTTTGGTGTAGTAGTTGAGGCATCAGGCTAGAAGCTGGAGACTGGGAATTCTAGTCCCACCTTAGCTACAAAGCTAGCTGGGTGATCTTGGACCAGTCATCTTTCCAATCAATCATAGATCAAGAGACAAAGCTCTAGTAACAAAAAAAAAAGGCTACATTTGGATAAACTTTCTTTTGTCCATGGAAAAGTCTCTCATGGAATCACACTGAGTTCTTGCAGAAGCTTAGTGCTTCATAGAACACATATTGAAAAACCCTGTTTTAGAGATTTCCTGGGGTTAATGGGATTTAATTTAGGAAGCAGGCACACAACAGAGAGTCTACAACATGCATATAATAAAAAACAAACACACACAATCAGCTCCTGGTAGCAAGTACTGCCTAAAGTAGGTCTAAACTGAAAGTAACAATTTCAGTACGTATCTATCCGTACAGGGTACAATTTTTATTCTATTATGTCCTCTCTTGACAGGAGTCTACTGTTATTACAATTATTCATAGCACAGCTTCAAAGGAGTAGTATGAATTCAAAGGAGTGATTCCTAGTTGGTGTATTGAAAATTTCTCTCAGGCAGTTGTGTATAGAACTGCAGTCTACATTGGCACAGAATGGAGAATGAGTTACAAACGGGAGAGACTGAGAGTAAGAATTTAGAAAACGCTTCATGACTTGCTCTTTATTTTCTCTTATGTAGCTCTACGTTTGACTTAACAGTAAACTTGTTGATAAGTAGGGAGGGAATCCCTGTTCCAATTATTTCTCAAATAAGCATAGGTGCAAATTATATGTGACTTTTTATTGCATAAGATGTCTCAAGAATATCATCCCCCCAGAGATAAGATTTGCCCCCACTTTGACACTCTTTCACAAGGCCCTGAAAACCTGGTTTTGCCAATGGGCCTGGGACCCCAAAGTGGGATGGGTCCCATCAAATGATTAGTTTGATTTCTGTCACCAGGATATGAAGGTGGGGTTATAGGTCTTTGCTGTTGTTGTTTTTAGTGGGTTTGTATTGTGGTAAGCAACCCAGAGTCATTGACAGTGAGTTGGGTAGCCATATAATTTTTCTATGAATGAATGAATGAATGAATGAATGAATGAATGAATGAATGAATGAATGTTGTAGCAGTGTAAAATCTAAAAAATGTATTGACCACTTTGATTAATATTGTCACAAAGGGCAGAAATTAGAAGTGACTGTACCTTGTATTAGCTTGGTAGGAGTGTGCAGAACTCTTTCAAAATGACATAAGAATAATTCTTCATGATGGGCAGGTCTAACATCTCATATTCTGCATGTATATTTTTGGATATAATTTTGAAATAATTCAATCTCACAAGCTGTAACTATAATCAGAAGGGGCATAACTAAGAAATCTCACTAACCTCACTAGAATCTATTAATACATGTTGTTAATGAATGATGAAACACTTCAATCCAGTGTCATGGCCACCTTGGATTCTACCTCAGAAGGGAAGTGTCAGATGAGAAGTTCTTGTTTTCTTCAGGAATGGCATTAGGGGGATGAGAGGAAGGAAGGCTACTGTTCCTTGTACACTACAAATCTTGAAGTTCCAATCCAGATTCTAAGATTCAGTCAGCTGTACCTTTGATACTGGTTGTGAATCTCTTTCTTTAATTCCCCCAAAGTCAAAAGATAGGTAGTAAATTACAATACTGTTCTTTTAGCTACCAAATGACTAGATCTATCCTTTTAATACAATATCTTATTTCAGAATAGTATAGGTCCTTACTTTTGATATGTGTGGTAACAGACAGAAAGATGTTTTCCATAGACTTGTGGAAACCTGGATTAAGTTCCTGAAAGAGAAAGAGACAAGAGAAAATAAATAGAATGGAGTTAGCTTTTCAAGGTTTCTTGGAATATATAACCTCTTTGAAATTGTCAAGGAAACGCAAGTGCAAACTTGCAAACAGAGCTATAATTCCTGTGTCCAAGCATTTAGGAGATAATCTATAGTATTATTATTATTATTATTATATTTTATCCCACCTTTTAAATATTTTGGCCAACTCAAACCTACCTTAATATTTCTTCCTCCTCCTATTTTTTGTACAATAACCCTGTGAGGTGGGTTGGTCTGAGAGATAGTGACTGGCCAAAATCACCCAGTCAGCTTTCATGCCGAAAAACAAATGCTGTCTGGTCCTTTGGTATCTAAAAGATCTCAGCGCTTACCATAGTAATCTTATAAATCAGCCAATATCCCAATCTGAGTTATAAAAAACTCCCCAAATAACCACTATATTTTTGTCACTTTGTTGCCATCTAGTGATCATCTGGATTTTTGCTCAGATCTGGTAAATGATTATTATTTTATATTTCATTTTGGGAAATATTTAAATAGGAAATATGATTCAATCTAAGAATTCTAATGCAGTAAATTCTATCACAGTACATACCATTGACTTTCTAGTTTTCTTTACTTCAATCATATTCTTATTTTACTTGAAAAATTAATCACTATTCTCTCCATTAAAAATTTTAAACCCATTTTAACTTAAATATTTAGTCACTTTCAAAATAAGGCAAAATATTTTTATTTAGCATGCAAGGCTTAAAACGGGAATCAAAGCTCCCCAATTACAAAAAAAAGGCAAAATTTACCCCACACAAATAATAAGTAATCAATCACTATAACTAGTATGACTCAGGGTTAGCTCATGGGAATTTCAAATACTGCTCCCTGCCTTATATTCGGGGGGAAAACTGGCTGCAGAGTATGTACTGCTAACTAATCTTGGGAAACTGAAGAGAAGTAATGCAGACTAAATAACTTTGTCATCCTCATTTTAATTAAATTAAATTTGTCATGAAGATGGGACAGATGAATAAATCATGAATACTTCTATTATGCAATGGGAACGAGTGTACTGTAATATTTCTGAGTGTGGAAGAGGAATTAATTCCTTTTCAAATTAAGGGAAAAAATTGCTACAGAAAATGATTGTAGCATGGTTATTGTTCAAGACAAGAAGAAGAGTAAATAAATGAAATGAAGAGCAAACTGAACATCGAATAGAAAGTGGACAATGAGATAGTTACAGAAAATACAGCTTATTCAGTGTTGTCTCGGTTGATAGTATTTCAGGTGTATCCCAGGTGATAGTGGACCTCTATCTGCTACTGCTGCCTCCTTCTTAGAGACATTCACTTCCTTTACCTGATCATGATTAACATTGGAAAAGATGGATGGCAGAAAAATGAACAGCATGAAGAGAGGGAGCACTCCTATCTATTTTTGTTCTTTAAATCTAGTCTCTTCCCTATCTCATACTTAATTGTTAATACATGGATGATCATACAAATTAATAGCTATGCCTACTACGTTAGGCTGAAAAAAATTAATCATGCATAGAGATCAGTTTCTGGAGACTACCAGACAAAAAGACATATAAGATTAAAGAAAACATATTAAGTGCAAAATCAATGAAAGCGGAAAGCTTTTTGAGTAAGTAGGTGATTGGTCGAACAGAATGTAGAGTGATACATTACCAATATGTTTATTCTATTGGCGGGTTCAGCAAAAGGTGGAGGAGTTGGAGGAATCACCGATACTTTGCTAAGAATTTTAAGGGGAAAAAAAGATAAAACGATTGGCAAATCTCACCACTGCTTCTACTGCCTGAAAGTTACTACTGCTTCTCACTCACTTTGGCGATAGATCCACCCACTGCTTGCCTAAAATGTTGCCTACCCATGATGTGAATTTAGAGGTAGTCCTTGGCTTATGACCACCACTGAGCCCAGAATTTATGTTGTTAAGTGAGAAATTTGTTAAGTGAGTTTTCTCCAATTTACAACTTTTCTTGCCATATTTGTTAAGTAAATTACTGCAGTTGTTAAAGTATTAACACAGTTGTTAAGTGAATCTGGCTTCCCCATTGACTTTGCTTGTCAGGAAGTTACAAAAGGTGGTAGCATGACCCCAGGACACTGCAACCATCATAAATATGAATCAGTTGTCAAGCATCTACCTGTACCTGAATACAACATAGCTTAATCATTCAGAGGTAAGACCCATCAGAAATGCTTAAAATTCTGCCTTTGGTAAAACTAGACTCATGGTAAGTCATGTATGTCGTCTGCAAAGAATATTTAAAGATTCTGTGGTTTGGGGGGGTTGTCACTTTTGTCACTTAGATCATCTCTGTGATTAAAACATGGAATTAGGACATTTGTCACTGAGATCATGTCTGTGACTGAAACGTTAGGACATGAAATGCCATGGAAATCTCATTTAAAACGTGCTTGTTTTATCTGTGTAAAATATGACATTGCATTTAAATTGTAACATTTGCATTTCAATTCAAATTAAAATGATTCTTAAATAATAATAGAAAAGGATATCAGGATTGAAACTAAATATGCGATTGAAAGCCAACTCCCCAGTTTACCTTCAACATTCAAGAGGTAATACTATTTACGATCTGTCAGTCGCATTCCTGTTCGCCTTGCTATTTACTTTTAAGCTTTAATCTTTTTAACCTTTAACTTTTTCAATGAAACCAAAACAAAACTTTACAACTTAATATCCCTTATCAACTTTGCAAGAACAGCCTACAGTATCAAGGGCCACAGTGTTAAAGAGATGCCCCTTTATCCCTCCCCTACCTCCAATGTTGTTGGAGTTGTGGTTATAGCAAAAGCTATCATTACAGAGCCACACCGAAACACTTTGTCTGGACTGCAACACTGAAATAAAAGTCAGTGTTTTAGTGGCTCAAAAGGTAACACAAGGAAAACTGAAACAATTTCCCCAGGTAAATATTTGGACAGGGCGATTTCATGAATCAATTTGCCACAGACGTCTTATATTTAAGCCTTTCTAAATTGGCTGATGTTGTACAAGTTCTATATGTAAAGAGAATCCATGGCAATGAAATGCATACTCCACTCACATTCACTAGAAGCTTCAACAGGCTTCCTGCACGGGATAATACGCACTTAGTACTACATCAAACGTCTGTAGGACACGTCAACCTCCTTGCCCTTACCTTAATTTCTGATAAGATTTCAAGAGTTTTGTTCCAGCAGTTTCATATCTACCTATCAAGAATGAAAAGAACTCAAGGTCACTGATAGCAATAAATTTGTACTCGCATGCCAATTTTTTTTTTAGTAGATGTAGCCATTTTTATCAACTATTTTTACTACTTGTTATTGCCAATATGAAAATGTTTGTGGTTTAAAATATTCTCTTCCTCTTTCTGTTCAACCCCCTGTATTGTAATGGATTGTGGAGACCTCAATTATAGCAGAAAAAAAATTAAAAAGAAGTAAGCACCAATAAGGCAAGACGATAAAATGAAAAGAAGCAACTTTCGTTATGTAACACCATTTAAATATTGTACAACTTTTCAGTACAAATAGTGCTAGAAAAAAAACCTCACTGATTATAAAACTACGGATAGGTAGTCAACTAAAACACAGTCAACTCATGGGATTCAATCAATGTTGCAAATGATGAATGGTGTGTAGCAATAAAAGCATTGATTATTAACAATTACATCTGGAATGTGTTGTTATATCTGTCCACAAAGAAAACCATTCTGCATCAGGTAAATCATTAACAATATAGAAAATAATTCTTTGGCATAATCAGCTAAGCTGACAATAAAAATTATTTTCTCACACTGGTTAATCACGTGATCTTTCATAACATGAGTGCCAGTAAAACAGGGAAGTGTGTGTATATGCTAGTCTTCTAGCAGTAGCTATGCTACTGCAGATTTCATTAATCTATATACAAAGAGAGCTTCTATATAAATCAACCTAACCTGTAATACCAGAGCTAGGGTCATAAAAACTGGACATTTAAGAATGAATGGAGAAAAACTCAAGTTCTGTTGTTCCTAAGAAGAACAGCTACTGGAGGAAAAGATCTCACCAGAACTGAGAGCTTTAATCAGTTTGATCAGTAGTTAAATCAACAGAAATGGCTTCTTCAAATTTACTTCACAAACTAAGCAGCCCAAAAATTCAGACCCTTAGCTTTAAATAATGAAATGATCCTATTCACACACCTACAAAGTTGAGAAAAGGATTTTTGTGACAGGAAGTAGAATTAACATTCCAAAGGCTAAATGCAGGAGCTTTTTTAAATACTTAGATTAATTGTTAACCAAACCAGACTGCAAATAAAGGATGAAGTTGATGCAAATAAAGGATGAAGTTCTCTTCTGAAAAAAACGCTGCCTTGATAGTTTAGGGTCAATTCAAGTTTTATCCCAAAACCTAAGAATTGTTCAAATATCACCATAATATATGTGTGTGTGTGTTTCTTGTTTTTTGTAAATGAGGTCAAATACTTTCAATTTTGTCAGCTGTTTTTACAATTGCATTGTTATAGTTCCTAATGTTCCAATAATTATGAGGGAAAATGTTGCTGGTTTAGTCCATTGTCTCTGTAATTCATTTGTTCAGTCCAAATATTTTACAACCCTTTCCAATTTCTTTTGAGCTAGTCTAGTGTCATTTAATACATTTATAAGTAAGCATTATAGAGCTTTTCTTCAACTATTGTGGCCAGCGTATGATTTCTGTTCATCTGAATTTGGAAATTTCATAAAATGGTCATTGTGAAGCATCTTTTCATCATTATGTGCATCAAATCTACTCTCCTTCTATCATTACTATTATCATAGCTCTGATGAGTTACTGTACTTAAGAAGCAATAAAGAGTATTTTATTTATAGTATTTATATAGTTTATTAAATTAAGAAGAGGTTCT